TCAAAAAGTTGGTGGGGATGTGTAGGATGAAAAACTGAGCATAGATTTCAAACGTCATTGCAACGAAACAACCTTATCTGTTGATTCCATTTCCCACCATTAAAGAGGGAGAAAAATCATTTAGGAGCTGGTGTTGTGGTGCAGCAGGTTAAGCGACCGCTTGTAGCACTGTTGCCGATTTGAGCGCCGGCTGCTCCACTTCCAATCCAGCTCCTTGCTAATGCGCCTGGGAAAGCAGCAGAGGATGGCCCAAGTGTTTAGGCCCCTGCACCCACTTAGGAGACCTGGATGAAACTGGCTGGCTTCTGGCTTCAGCCTGGCCCAGCCCTGGCCATTGCGGCCGTTTGGGGAGTGAATCAGCAGATGGAAGATCTCTGTCTGTCTCTCTCTCTGTAACTCTGCCTTTCAAATAAATAAATAAATACTTTTTTTTTTAAAGGAATATATCCCACAAAGGTTGTATATTCAAGAGGACAGTGTTTTTTTTTTTTAAGATATTTAAAAAAACAGACTTAAGCTACAGTTTTCATTTTTGTCTATTTTCATTTTACTTGAAATACAGAAAAGAGAAAGAGAGAGAGAGAGAGATTGATTTTCCATCCACGCGTTCACTCCCCAAATGCCCACAACATCCAGAACAGCCGGGACTGAGGGGGGCTGAAGCCAGGAGCCGGGCACTCAAGTCAAAAATCACAATCCTTGAAGCCCCCCACGCGCTGCCTCCTAGGGTGCGCGTGAGCAGGAAGGTGCATGGGAAGCGGAGGAGCCTGAACTGGGAGCAGGCACTCTGGCATGGGCTGCGAGCGTCCCAAGTGACAGTTTAACCTCCGCGCCCAACACCTGCCCCAGCTCAGGCTCAGGCTTTTTTTTTTTTTTTGGCAGGCAGAGTGGATAGTGAGAGAGAGAGAGACAGAGACAGAGAGAGAGAGAAAGGTCTTCCTTTGCCGTTGGTTCACCCTCCAATGGCCGCCGCGGCCGGCGCGCTGTGCCTGGCACACCGCACTGATCCGATGGCAGGAGCCAGGTACTTCTCCTGGTCTCCCACGGGGTGCAGGGCCCAAGCACCTGGGCCATCCTCCACTGCACTCCCTGGCCACAGCAGAGAGCTGGCCTGGAAGAGGGGCAACCGGGACAGAATCCAGTGCCCCGGCCGGGACTAGAACCCGGTGTGCCGGCACCGCAAGGAGGAGGATTAGCCTAGTGAGCCGCGGCGCCGGCTAAGGCTTTTTCTACATCAATGATGCTAGCAGCGTCATACAGTTTCCTTTGTTCTTGTTAATATTCCAGTTCAGTACTGGCTTTTTTTTTCAAATCTGGTTTTTAAAAAATATTGAAATGCTTCCATCATATAGGAAAAGCTCTCGACATGGGCATATGCAGAAATACCTTTTTCCTTTAAGCCTCTGCCACCGAGAGCTTGCTAGCATTGGCCACGCTTTCTCCTTCTCCCAGTTTCCCCAGTGTGCAAACAGGCTATTGGCAGATGGCAGAGATTAGAAAGAGCCCAAATGTAGGGACTTGCAAATTGTGTGTGAAGGGGCAGGCTCCTCACAGGCATTGTTTTTTTTTTTGTTTTTTTTTGTTTTTTTTTAGTATAGGACATCTTGAAAAGGGGAATCTAAACTAACATTTGTCTAGTATTTACCATCTGTTGACCATAGCGCTGGGCAGTCTACCTATATGATCTCATTTAATACGCAAGAGCCCTGAAGGACAGCTATTAATGTTCATTTTCAAAAAGTAACTTTTTCTTGCGGGATTCTTGTTTGACTTCAGCCTCCTGTGCACACCCTAAGAGGCAGCAGTGATGGATCAAGATTGGGTTCCTGGGGCCAGCACTGTGGCAGAGTGGGAAAAGCCGCCCGCTGACTGCAATGCCGGCATCCCATATGGCCGCCAGTTCGAGTCCCGGCTGCTCCACTTCCGATCCAGTTCTCTACTATGGCCTGGGAAAGCAGTAGAAGATGGCCCAAGTCCTTGGGACCCTGCACCCATGTGGAAGACCTAAAGGAAGCTCCTGGCTCCTGGCTTCGGATCAGCACAGCTCTGGCTGTTGCAGCCGATTAGGGAGTGAACCAGTGGATGGAAGACCTCTCTCTCTCTCTCTCTTTCTCTCTCTCTCTATCTGCCTCTCCTTCTCTCTCTGTGTAACTCTGACTTTCAAATAAATAATAAAATAAATCTTTAAAAAAAAAGATTGGGTTCCTGCCTCCCTCCTGGGAGACTTGGGCTGAGTTCCCAGTGTCCCGCATCAGCTCTGGCTTGGCCTGTGGTATTTGGGGAGTGAACCAGCCCTCCTCTCTCTCTCTCCCTCTTGGTTTCTCTGCCTCTCTCATAAATAAAACACAACAACTGCATTTTAAATTGCAAATTGATAATCAGGTTTGTTTTGTCTATAGCTCCAGTTTCTCTTTCCCCCGGATGATAGCTTATCCTTTCATCCATAACTATTTTAGCATATATTGCCCAAAAGACAAGGACTCAAAAAGAGATTCGGGGCTCCTATTTCCCTGGTTTTCACAATTTTTTTTTTTTAATAGTTTGACTTTCAAATAGGACTCTGTTCCATTCGTTGCAATGATTGGTATTTCTCCCGAGTGTCTTTAAGCCTGGAGCTTTCCCTTCAACTCTTTTTACCCCCTTACAATTTATTTGTTGAAGAAACTGAGTCCAGCTGGGTACATACCCAGTGTGTTCGCGTGTTCACCTGTCACTACTGAGCACTTGAAAGTGTGGCCAGTTCGAGTGGAGAAGTGCCGACAATACAAAATATGCAATGCAGTTTTCAAAATCGTAACACAAAAAGAAGCGAAATGTATCTCACTAATATCTTATATTGACTGCATGTCAAGATGGTAATACACTGTATATACTGAGCCGAAACAAAATATCATGAAAGTTAATTACACCTGTTTCTTTTGGGTTTTTAAAATGTAGCTCCTAGAAAATTCAAAATCACACATATGGCTGACATCCTATTTCTACTGTAGAGGCTTGATCAATTTCAGGGTCAATTTTTTTTTTTAAGGTTTATTTACTTATTTATTTATTTAAAAGCCAGAGTTACACAAAGAGAAAAGGAGAGGCAGAGAGAGAGGTCTTCCATCCACTGGTTCACTCCCCAATGGGCCGCAATGGCCAGAGCCACGCCGATCCGAAGCCAGGAGCCAGGAGCTTCTTCCGGGTCTCCTACGTGGGTGCAGGGACCCAAGGACTTGGGCCATCCTCCACTGCTTTCCCAGGCCATAGCAGAGAGCCGGATCGGAAGTGGAACAGCCGGAACTAAAACCAGTGCCCATGTGGGATGCCAGCACTGCAGGTGGCAGCCCCTCAGCTATTACATTGACATTGTCACCAAGGATAGGATTACTGAAACAACGTATTTCTACAGGTCTGTCTTTAGGGTAAATACACAGACATTATATCAATTTATTGGGTCTTAGCCACTCGAAATAGTTCTTGTGTAGTTGTGCTCACCACAGCTTCATTTGGTCTGTTGCGCTTTTTAATTCACAGGCATTGCTGTTGGCTTATAGTCACGTCGAAGTCTACGCTGCTGAACGTTTGGAACAGCAGAGCTGCCCTCTCTCCCCTCACAGGTAACCACTGCTGCTGCTTCTTTTAAGAGTTACTTTATTTATTTGAAAGTCAGAGTTACAAAGAGAGAGGAGCGAGGTGTTCCATCTGCTGGTTCACTCCTCAGGAGCACCAGCCAGAACTGGGCCAATCCGAAGCCAGGAGCCAGGAGCTTCTTCTGGGTCTCCCACATGGGTGCAGGGGTCCAAGGACTTGGGCCATCTTCCACTGCTTTCCCAGGCCATAGCAGAGAGCTGGATCAGAAGTGGAGCAGCCAGGTCTCGAACCGGTGCCCATATGGGATGCTGGTGCTTCAGGCCAGGGCCTTACCCCGCTGTGCCCCAGCACTGACTTTAAAGCGGTTTAGAGAACCTTGCACATCTCAGTTCTGTAGTACAATCACCCCTCACAACCAGGGGGTCTGGCTCCAGGACCTCTTCAGCTACCAACACCCTGGGATGTAGCATCTGCATGGAACCTACCCAGATATTTTGAATTCACATTTTATTAAAAAGACTTATTTAGACAAAGACAAAGAAGGAGAGAGAATCTTCCATTTCCTTTTTTTTCTTTTTTTTTTTTTTTTGACAGGCAGAGTGGACAGTGAGAGAGAGACAGAGAAAGGTCTTCCTTTTCACCCTCCAATGGCCGCCACGGCCAGCATACCACGCCGATCTGATGGCAGGAGCCAGGTGCTTCTCCTGGTCTCCCATGGGGTGCAGGGCCCAAGGACTTGGGCCATCCTCCACTGCCTTCCCGGGCCACAGCAGAGAGCTGGCCTGGAAGAGGGGCAACCGGGACAGAATCCGGTGCCCCGACCAGGACTAGAACCCAGCGTGCCAGCGCCGCAAGGCGGAGGATTAGCCTAGTGAGCCGTGGCGCCGGCTGGAGAATCTTCCATTTCTATCCCCTGATTCACTCCCCAAATAGCCACAATGGCCAGGGCTGGGCCAAGCTAAAGCCAGGCACCTGGGACTCCATCCAGGCCTCCCACATGGGTGCAGGGGCCCAAGGACTCGGGCCATCTTCTGCTGCTTTCTCAGGCACATTAGCAGGGAGCCACCTAGGACCTGAAGCAGCACTGGGATATGGGGTACCGACAGTGGCTTAACCTGCTGCACCACATTGCTGCCCCTCCCCCCCTTAAATCTTTAATCTCATGCTGAGTGTATGGATACCGAGCAGGGAACACCGTGGGCGGCCGAGCCCTGTTCTGTGTGGGTGCACCACTGCTCACCAGGGCCTGACTTGGGTGTTTTCAGGATTTTGCTGTTACAACTATTGGGCCAAGTTTGAAAAAAACAGGACAACAAGGCTGAAGGGGCAATTTGTCCAAGTCTGTTAAGATGAGATTTAGTTGAAGTAGTAGAAAAACTCAAATGCACAGTAGGTTCTTTTTTATAGACTTCTTTATTTGAAGGGCAGAGTTACAGAGAGGGAGGCATCTTCCATCCGCCGGTTCACTCTCCAAATGGTCACAACAACTGGAGCTGGGCCAGGTGGAAGCTAGGAGCCTGGAACTCCATCGGGGTCTCCCAGGTGGCTGGCAGGGGCCCAAGCACTTGGGGCCATCCTCTGCCACTTTCCCAGCTGCATTAGCAGGGAGCTGGATCGGAAGAGGAGCAGCTGGCACTGGAAGCAGCACTCACATGCCAGTGTCCTGGGTGGCAGCTTAACTTGCTGCGCCCCCAAAACACAGTGGCTTCCACATAATGCACAAGGCAAGCCCCTTGGCACCCATGAAGACTCCATACAAATTCTGTACCCATGCCGCGGTCCTTTCCTCTCCAGTGAGGGTCCCTAAACACCACACGCCGGCACGTGCTGTGCTTCTGGACTGTCCAGAGCACTTGCCTACCCACGTGGAGTTCCCCCAAACACGTGGCAAGCTCTCCTCCGTGCTGGTGGCGTGCCCTGGCCTCCCGTGTGCTCTGCTCCTGTGGCAAGCTCCTCTAGACCTAGACCTATGGGGGCTTCCGGAATGGGTGGCAGCTCCTCTATACCCAAGTTTCCCTCAGCTCCAGGGTTCTCATCCAGACCCCAGTCAGCTCTATCTGTATCTGTTTTCAACCACTTTGGTGGGTCCTCCAGGAGCTGCTGTCTGCCAGCTCCTCCAGCTGTGTGACCCACAGCCTTCAATGTCGCCTAAAGGGAGCTCAGTACTCCCCTGCCCTCCACCCACCAGGCCCATGGCTCCCACCTGTTTTCTTGGTCTAATGAATCCAATGACCTTTATCCCCATAAAAACCTCAGTTGGCCTCAGGCTATCCCTTAGCCTCCAGCCCAAATACAAATACAAAAAAGCCAAATGCCCTTGAGCTTTTATTTTTGAGATTAGGATTCAAAGGAGACCCTTGTTGCCTAGTTCAGGCTCACCAGTCCTCCTTTGCTTAAATTCTTCTGTAGGTCTGTCTGCTTTCCTGGGCCACTATCTTAGCTTTCTTAGTTTCTTGCAAACTGCTGCCTTAGATCCTTTCCTACAAAACAACAAAAATTGCATAAGCTATTGAGAGTGGTTTCCCCCAGCAAGGGGAGGGGAGTATTAGTATGGAGTGATAAGGAGTTATCTATGTCTGAAATGTTTACAATGAAATGTTTTACAATCAGAAAAATTCGCAGGTCAAAACTTGTCAGGTGCCTATTGTTTGCAGGATACACTCCCCCCATTTACTTCAAGATGCAGCACAAATACATCATCCCCATGGCCTCTTCCTTGACCCAGCTGCCTCGCTGGCTCTGCTTTGGTGTGCAATACAAGATGAGAAAATGCATAGTACTGAGCACAAATGGATGTGCCACAGGGACTCAGATGGTGACAAGGTTTTTGGCAGAGCTAGGGGAAAGAGTCAGGACAAGTCCAGGACCACCAGCAGTGCCCTAGGCACCAGGAGGCCCTGCCCTAGTCCTCAGCAGCAATCGCTACAGTAGGAAGGGGTGTGTGCCCCTTGCTCCTTTCCAAAGAAATCCACATTCAGAACCAGAAACATAGCTGCAAAGGAGTCCAGTAGTTTCCCATGGCCTAGCCCCTGCAGTGAAGAACAGGCATATGGGGTGGACACTAAGCATCAAGTGACCAGCGCAGAGACTGCTGGAAAAAGCAGTTACCCTAGAGGAAACAGAAAAAAGAAGAGAGCTGGAGGAAGACAAGTAGTGCAACAAAGGCTTGGTTTCAAGATGTGGGATTGCAGTAGGTCAACGCCAGAAGCCTGCCAGGGCAGAACTGAGAGACAGGAAAGCATTAGGTCCAGAAACCGGGTTTTTAGACTAGAACTCCAAATCGTTTTCTGGGTATAACTAATTCCTCCGCAATCCACCAGTTTACACAGACTGTAAACTGCTGGAACATTACCGACAGGGCACGGACATCAACACCACTTTGAAGACATCGGTGACAACAAGAATGCATTAGGAATACATGGGATGCAAAATATTTCAATTTTCTCCTTTCCTCAACAGGTTTATTGCCTTTTAAGAAAATTTTTGTAAAATATAAATACAAAGGCAGAGAATTTACTTACAAAGTTAAAACACAGATTTCAAACATAAACACACAATTCAGAAAATTTTAGTTTTATGTACATTTTCAAGCAACCTCAACATATTATGTTAGTTTTCAATATTTTACAGGGTACAGAAAAAAATAGCTCAAAGTCTTCTTTAAATAAGAGCATAAAATGTTTAAACATATAAACAATCCGGTTTGATGCGTGAAAACTAATTTCACAGCTTTTAAATTAGGATATAAAAGTTTCATACAATTAGTTGTTGTGTGTGGATATGGTTTGAATTTATATTACACACTACTGGATTACATCCAATAGCATTTACCTGGCCCAAGCAGGTACTCTGTAAACAAAACATAAAGGTACAACACCACCAAGTGCCTTCACCAAATCCAACCGCACGCTTCTGACCACACATTACACACAGACAGGCTGTCATCGGAGCTTGCCATGAAATTAAGTCAAAGTGTGAAGCTCCTTTTCCTCATTTTTTGTTTCTCCTTAGAAAAAAAAAAAAGAAAAAAACAAGAACAGAAAAGAAACAAATGTTCCAAGTAAAAACAAACCTATCCCGAAACAGGTGTGCATGGAAAAGTAAAGAAACACTATAACAACTTCATAAAAACTGACTTAAAAGCTTAAAAAGAAAACAACAGGTTTCGAAGTCCTTCTGACTGGAGCCATTTCTCTTATATAAAGAAGAGATCTTTTCCTATGTAATAGTGTCCTTTCTTTACAGAAATAGCTGTACTATGACACATATGCACAAAGATTCACACCAGAATGCACTGTCCGAGGCGGGGCTGCGGCGCTCACCAGCAGTTATCCAAGACCCCCTCACTGGGGTGGAGCCACTCCAGGGTGGAGCCCAGCAGAGTCTGCAGGTCGCTGGTGAATTCCACCAGATCGAGCAGTTCCTTGCTCTCGGGGTTGAAGGCTTCCAGGTCTTTGGAACAAGAGAATAAAAGGCTCGCGGACACCTGCCTATAGAGCTCCGCCTCGGCGATGGTGACAATCTCCACATTGGGAAAATTGCAGCGGAAGATGCGCGAGGACATTTTCAATTTCTTCAGCACATCTGAAAGCAGTAGCCAATTTCGTGGCCTGCAAAACAGGAGGGCAAAGCGCTTTGAGTTCCCGGCAAAAATGCAAACACACCCTGAGCAGAGTCCAGCCCCTAGCCGTGGGCCGGAGGCCAGGGGTTTGCCCCTTTGATCCTCTGCATCACATAGCAACTCCAGACTCATTTGGTGGTATGAAGAAAACACCTAGGCAGGTGGCCTGAATGACCCTCACTGTTCTCCCTACTGGTGGAACTGGCCACAGTTTGAGCCACACCTCTCCACATGCTCCGCTCTGCTGTTTTTCCTGGGGGAAGACTGTCTGTCTGTCTGCCAGCCTCTTTGCTCTCTCCTCTCCTTGGATCCACACTAATGGCACACTGTGCACAGAGAAAGCTGTCTCTTTCCTTTGCAATCTCCACCCCCGCCCCTCAACTCTGTTGGAAGTGACTTTATGGATTTCCCTCGGTGTTTTTGATAGCATACATGTTTACAGCTGCAGAGCCCAAGGAGGGTGTTACTCACGAGACACCTTTGACCTTTGTTAACACGTGGTAGAGCAGTCTCTTGACACATATACCCCAAGGGTGCCCTGACCATAGCAGCCAGACAGGTCTAACCCCATCTGATGACACATGGAGATCCCAAGCATCGTGCAGAATGATTATCCTAACTATATACAAGAAAGCACCGTACCAGAAGGGTCCCAGTGCAACTGAGATGCCTGGGAAGGCCTGTATAGTAGCCCGTTATGGGGGGGGTCTCCTAAGGAAGACCCCCTTCCCAGAGCATTTTGGTGATCGTAGAAGCAACCAACACTCTTCTGTGAAATTCCAGCCATTGATTTCAATACCCTTTTCAATGAGAAGTTTATCCCATGCACCAAGGGACACCCCGGGGTAGAATTAAGCAGATGTGTACGTACTCTTTGTGGAAAGGATCTCCTGCACTGTGTAAGATCTGGGGACTCACCTACCCACTGACATCTGCCTAAAGGGGATTTCTACCACGGCCCCCCACCCCACCCCACCCCTGCAGCTCGGCTTGTGGTCAGCCAGCCATGCTCACCCCTGAGCGACGGATACTTGAACATTGTAGCACGGTAAGAGGGGGCTGTCTGAGAACTCGAATTCAAACACATCACTGTAGGAGTCATCGTCGTCGTCCTGGTCTTCAGGTCCCGGGGGGTTCGCTAAGACATCATAGCCACTTTCGTCATCTGGCTCTGATGGAGGACAAATGAGAGAGGAAGCAATCAGTACACACTGTAGCAAGATTTCAGCTGCTGTCAACAACAAGATTCTTTCCCAACTGAGCCCAGCTTCTAACATCCCCCACCCCAGCCTGGGCTCCCCTCACCCACACCAGAAACATTCTAACTCATTCGCTTCCCCCTGAAAAACAAAATTAACAATGCTGCTCACCACACACTGAGCTGCCATAGAACTCCCAGGAGCCATTGGAGTCATCATCACTGCGACCTTGTAGGTCATTTAAGTAATCTGGAGGGAAGAGGAAAGATAGAATCCACTCGTGAGAAGAAAATGGTGATGGAATTGGGGTGCGGGGCCATTTCCCCCCATATACTCATGCCCAGCTGCCACAATTCTCCAAGTCCCGCGCTCGCAGGACCCCCCCCCCAAGTCTACCTACCCCACCCCAACCAGAGCCTAGGTCTTCCATGCAGAAGCAAAGTGGCAGTTCATTGGCATAGCCCTTCTCCCTCCCAGCAGGTTCAGGTTCAAGTTAGGGGACACAAGGGTGGGGCAGCAGTGACTTCGGAGCACCTGATAAGGAATTTCACTGCAGGTGCCTGCCACTCGTGAAAACCTGGTGTTTCTGCTTCAGGAACCTAACAGCGCCTGGGGCTTAGAGACGGTTTTGTCCTGTGGCAAACCCCACACAGCTGTGGTGATCAGTCCACGTATGGGGAGCTTGAGCCATCTCACCCAGATGCCAGGTGCAAACCCGGGAGCCAGGGCTAAGTTAAAAATGCCTCCACAGAAAAGGCAAACAACTTCAGGAGACCTTTGAAAGCCTGAAGCTGAGGAGCTGGGTTAGCTTCGCTAGAATAAGGCCCCTCCGCCCCAGCCTCGCAGAGCGGCGCTTGCACATTGTAGCCTTTTTGAGTTTTGCCCAGTCCAATGCAAAGTCAAGGGTCTGGTTTGGGAAGACCACTTCCTGCCCTTTTGTCGTACCTGTTAAAAACTTTTCCATTAGTTCACTGTGGGTCATTTTCATGATGGTTCTACCTGAGTACGTAGCCAGGGTAGGGTCAGCACCATAAGAAAGCAGCAGACGGACGATTTCCAGGTGATCGTTCTCTACGGCATCGTGCAGAGGCCTGGGAAGAGGCACACAGCGGCACTGAGCTCCGGGGGCCACGTGTCCCTCCCAAGTTGTCCCCGCTGACTGAGCACACGGGGACCCCTCCAAGGGCCTGCCGGGCGTGGCACTTTATCCTTTGCCATTGTACAGACAGGGCAACTGAGGCACGGTGACTGCCCTGAGGTCAAGGGACAACTTCCTCTTTTATTTACCACTGAAAACCCTTTACACGGCAAAGTGAAGGTGCTATTTTTTGGCCTCACTCTCAAAGGCAAATCTGTCCAAATCCAAGGCCAAAGAGGAACTCAAGTCTCAACGAAAACATTTTTCAACCAGCACCAGACCATTTGAAGGGAGCTCATGGGGGTGGCGGAGTGCCATCAATATGGAAGCCAATACAGCCAGCAATTATTAGCCCATTAAAAAAAAAAAAAAAAGCCGCCTGTTTCTCAAAGATACTAGGTGCGACGGGAGGTGATTAGTGGAGACTCCTACAAACCTGACCCCGGGACCTAACACCCATCAGTCATCAACCCTCTGGCCCCGAAGCAGAGGACGGCAGGTGGAGGGGACTGGGGACTCTGCTTGCCATCCTCTCCTGGTGCAATGCTATTTGCACTTTGGTCAAAAGACAAACTGCCTAGCTACCTGGCAAGACAGCAGCACCAGGAAGATGCTGGCGCTGACTCAGACCTGGGTCTCAGACCAATAAACCAGGCTCAACGACAGGGCGAGGGCCAGGGAAGCAGTGGGGGGAGGGGCAGGCGGCCAGCCATCTGCGGGGGATGGGGGGTAGGGGTGGGAGAGGAGGGCCTCGCAGGTTGGAGATTTCAAAGATGGCAATGATGGAAGCCCAGGATCCTAAAAGGCAACACTCAACTATCTGTGCATTTCCCATCTGACATTTCGCAGACTGGTGTGCTGGCAGCTGACTCTGCGCCTTTCTTGCGGGGTCCCCCTCCGCATAGCCCGATAGCCACGTGCCTGAGCCCGGGACACACCACTGACCTGGTTCCATCCTGGGCACTGCAGTTGACATCAGCGCCATATTCGAGGAGGTGCCGCACGATGTTGAGCCAGCCCCTGGCACAGGCCTCGTGCAGGGCACAGTAACCTGCATTGTCCCGATGATTGACATCACAAATCTTGTTTTCCAAGCAGTACAAGACAACTTCCTGTGCGGAGAGGACAGGGAACACCATCAGATCACCGCACCGTGACGTTCTGTAAGGGGGGAACCTCGCCACCGCTCTCCCAGACAGACGCCCTGGAGCCCGAGAGCCCACGCTGGCTCCGGTGGGCTGTGGACGTCTCGGTGAGGGCTTGGTGACAGGGACCGGGTCACTGAGGTCTCTGTTGGACACCTGGCTCGGCTCCTGCCTCCATCTCCTCCTCTCGGGAGAGAACAGAGGCTCCCGAGGGCTGTTCCGAGGATGCCACCCACACTCTGTGCCCGGTGCCGGCACAGTGACCGTGTAGGGATGTGGCTCCTAAGATTTCAAAGGGCGCATTCTTCAGCCAGGCGCGTTCTGATTCGATCAGTTCATTCAACAGGTAGTGGTGGATGACAGCCCAAGTTTAGACAACAGCGAGGGCTACTCATGTACAACGGGAGATGAAAGGAGCGACAGAGGTCAGCCAGGCCCTCACGCCTACAGTACGGTAAAGAGAGGAGGCAGGAGGTGCCAGTTTGGGGCAGCGGTAAAGATGCTGCTTGGGATGCCCAGGGCTCATGCTGGCCTGCCTGGTTTGAGTCTCGGCTCTTCCTGCTTCGGATCCCAGCTAATGCCTACCCTGGAAGGCAGCAGAGGATGACTCAAGTGCCTGGGTGCCTGTCACCCAGGTGGGAGACCCGGACGGGAGTTCCAGGCTCCTGGCTGCGGCCTGGCCCAGCTCCAGCTGGGGAGTGAACCAGCAGATAGGTCTCTGTGTCTGTCTGTCTGTCTCTCTGCCTGCCTTTCAGATAAAGCAAGAACAAACAAAAAGACTAGGAGGAGGAGAGCCCCGGGCTGCAATGCTTCTGTTAGAATGTGAAGTCAAGTTCAAGACTGGCTCCCTGTGAACCACATATATCATCAAGAGATGACAGGCCTCAAATCCCCGCCCTCTCTGATTTTGGCCTCACTCGCCACCTCCCTCAGGGTCGAATCAATCGAATACGTTCTTACAGCCTTAAGTTAATGGCAGAAATCTGATAGGCCACGCACTGCGACCGACCGACACACTTCAAGAACTAAATAAAACAAGGCCGCCCCTCCCCCCTTGCAGAATGTGCTTTGCGCCAACAGTTTTGCCTGGGAATCGCTGTTACTAATCTTCCTTCTTTGGCTTGTTAAAACATTCATGTGAACCGCTCCCAGTAAGCAGAGCAGTAATTTCTCCCATGTTTTATTACCTTGATTAAGAAAGTTTTCAAACACACTGAACAGTATCTGCCATCAGAAAACATGTCGCACCATCAGCCTGCCCGTCTGGCGCAGCAAAGGGCTACCCAGTGGGTGGGCGGCCCAACACGTGGGCCACACGGCGAGGGCACCTGCGGGTCACGGCGGAACGCCCTTTGTGACAACTCTTTTTTTTAATGTTTCGTTGTTTATTTTCACCGGCTTGAAAGGCAGAGCAACAGGGAAACAGCAAGGGAGACGGGAGAGAGACCCACACACACGGAGGGAGGGAGATATTCCATCCCCTGCTTCACTTCCCAAATGCCTGCCAACAGCCAGGGCTGGGCCAGGCGGAAGCCAGGAGCCAGGAACTGCATCAGGGTCTCCCATGTGAGCAGCCAGGGGCCCACAAGCACTTGAGCCCCGGTCTGCTGCTGTCCCCCAGGGTGCAGTAGCAGGACGCTGGAGAGGAAGTGGGAAGTGGAGAAGCGGGGACTGGACCCTGGCACACCGATATGGGACTTGGGCATCCCCGCCAGAGCCACAGCGCCCACCTCTTGCTGACAGCGCATCTGGTGCAACCTAAAACAAAGGTCCCTCGAGCCACGCAGGAGCGTGGAGCAGGTTCTGAAGACGGAGGGAGAGAGAGGCCATCAGCCGCCTGCGTGCGAACAAGAACGCGAGCTGTTCCAGGCCCATGTGGCGGCTCGCGGCCGAAACAAGCCGAGGAAGAGAGAAGGCATGCCCAGAGAAGGTTCCTGCCTTCGGGTCCTAACCTGCCGCCGAGCCCACAGTCCTCGCGGCTCCCAGGCCACCTGCCCTGAGCGCTCGTATCCAGGATACCGCATGGAGCTGCTGCTCTTTTCGCAGGCCCTCACTAGCCAGACTCGAGTGGACGGCGGCAAGCTAATGAGTTGTGTGCCCCAGCCAGGGAGAGGCCCCCGTCACGTGACGCCGGGATCAGCTCTGAGCGCCACCGACTGCTGTGCACAGATCAATTTACCCAGATCCCGGCGGCCTGCCTGGCGTCCTATCAACCCAGGGTTTATTTGTTCTGACAATTATGGCTTTCACCTGGAAACCGTCAGCGCTACCAGGGCTGATTTGAGGGACCCGAGAAATGAAAGGCCATCGGGGCGGAAGGGGAGATCGGCCCCCACCCCCACCCAGGATGGCCGGAGAGGCAGGAGGAACCCAACAAGCCAGGTCAGTCGGCAGCCATCGTGTGTCCTCGCTCAACCGTGCCGGCCCCTCTGTTTGCCAGGGCGTTTCTCATTGCCCCGGTGCTCAGGGGGAGACATCAGGAGGGGAGAGGAGGAGCGTGGATTGTGTTCGATACTTGGGGAAACTGAGGGAGGACCGGAGGAGTTAAACCCCAAGTTCAACTAACACGAAGTACTAGACTGTGGCTCAGGTCCTTTTGGTACCTGGGTTGCTGGGAAGATTCTCCAGAGCCAACAATCGAGGGCCCCTACTAGAGGGGTGCAATCCAGCCGCACCCAGCAGCCCTCGCCCTCTCTGTTGGGGTCAAGTGTACTTCCGGAAGGGTCCTAGCTGGGAGGCTGACGGCCTCCTTAGGATGGCAAACGCTGTCACCAACACAGCACGTGGCAAAGAAAACAGACAAGGGCCATGCACTCCGTGTCGTCCCTGGTCTATTTTCTGGGCTATAAATGGGAGTGTTCGAGGGGCAGCCCACCCATTCCCAAACAAAATCAAACTGTTTTTGTTGGACAATTCTCTGGTAAGTGGCTATAAGCTGAATGCCATTAACCGCAAAATGTAACCATAAAGGCCATAAACCCGACATTGTTAATTAATTAAATGCCTCATTAACTTTTTTAAAAACATGATTTATTCAATTCATAGAAAATTTAACCATCACCACTAAATGCACAAGCATGTGGTCGCACGCTGGCATTGTAGCCTAAGAGACAGAAGCCTCTTTGGCGGGCGGGGAACGGTTCGCGTGCATCTGGCTTTGCAGGCAGTCTGTCTCAGAGAGACCTGAAGACAGAAGGCACTTCTGGACACCAAGAAGCCGAGGAACCCCTGACAAAGCCCGGGTGGCCTTGCGATCGCAGGGGTCCCTCCAGCTAAGCAGGAGACCCCTGAGACCAAAGCCTTGCCATCCTCCCATTTTCAAAGATTTCAACTGCCATGACTGAACGGCTCACCATCCCAACACTGGCCCCCGCCAAGAACTCCTGGAAAGTGGAGTTCAATGTCAACAGCATTCAGCACCCAAAGGGATGCCCTGGTGAAATTTACACCATAAAAGCGTCATTTGAGGTGGGGGGGGGGGGGGAGGCTTCACATGCCAGCCTCAAAAACCTGGTAGCCTAACAGAGTCTGGATCCAGTGCTCCTTGGTCCAGGCCTCAGGCTTACACTGAAACGGAAAGGGTTCCTTAGAAGGCCCACCCTTGACCCCTAAGGTCTCCACTCCCAAAGGGGTGAGATGGGCAGAAACGACGCCAAGATCAAAGGCCACGCCAGGAGCCTCGACCCCCGAGGCCTGTGGAGCTGGCTGCCCTGCTGCTGGGAGCCCGCATGTGGCACGTGGCCCCTCCTCTTCCCCTCCCAGGTGCTTGCCGCTCTCTCAGCTTGTGGAAAAGCCAACTGGCTGCCACTTGGACTTAATCTGCAAGTAACCGAGCTAATGACCAAATCCTTCCAGAGAGTTCTCTCCAAGATAACCTGAGATCTCAGAAACAAGACAAGACATGCTGGTGCAAACAATAGCATGCGCAAAGCACCCTGCCAGTGTTTCAAAGGTCTGTCCTACCACCAACCTCCAAGCCGCTACCCACGCGGCCACGACTCAGGGAGGCCTCTGGGCCAGGGGGAGACTGGTGGCTGAACAGTGCCAACCGGGGAGGGCTCAAGGCACAACGGACCTAAGCCACTCCCCTGGTGCTCCTCCCCACCTCCACTGGCAGCTGGCCGAGCTGTTTTATTTTTCCACATTCAGTTCCCCGAGGGTTGGTGCCAGCAGAAAAAAAAGCGCCTTTGCCCTGTAGGCTGTTACATCCCAAGTTCAACGGCCTCGGTGGTAGTGCAGAGGGCGCACAAGGGCAGAGGGCATAAGCTGTCTCAGGGAGGCTGAGAGCTGTCGCAAAAGTGCAATGGGAGCCAGGCGGCCCCTGGGGACCCCGTCTCCTCATTCGAAAGAGGGGCTAACACGGGTTCCTGCCGCACAGAGCTGATGAAAGGTTGGGATGAGTCACCCCAGATCATCCTGGTTTAGAGCACAGGGCGCTCAGCGACCAGACTGAGCTGGCTGGGGGGCTGGGGGGTTTGGAGCAAGGCCTTGCTCCTCCTCCTGACCCCTTGGGCTACCTCACTCTGTCTTAGACCACTCAGGGGCCAAGGTTGTGGTGCAGCAGGTGAAGCCACGGCTTGTCACACCAGTTTCCCACAAGGAAATGCTGGCTCCAATCCCAGGTGTCCCGCTTCCAATCCAGCTCCCTGCTAATGGTCTGGGAAAGCAATAGAAGATGGCCTAAGTCCTTGGGTCCCTGCCACCCACATGGGAGACCCAGATGAAGCTCCTGGTTCCTGGCTTCGGTCTGGCCCAGCCCCAGCCATTGCTGGCATTGGGGGAGTGAACCAGTGGATGGAAGATCTCTCTCTGTGTCTCCCCTCTCTCTGCCTTTCAAACAAATAAATCTTTAATAATAAAAGAGACCACTGAGACCTGCCCCGAGGACCCTGTACCTCGTGGGACCTGGCACAGCTGCTCCCCACCTCCCTGCCCTGGGACCACCCCTCCCCCCGCACCAGCAGAGAACCGCAGAAGCAACCCCAAATAGAGCTAATAACTTCTCTTCCCTGCCCCCCTCCCCGGCCCCTTGTTCGGCAGAATCCAGAAGGGCTCATTAAAATTCCCCCAGTGGCCAAGCCCTGGCGGATGTCCGATTCGGTATCAGAGATAAGTGATAGAGACGGGAGGAGGCTGAAACAGCCTACCGGCCTGGACACAAACTGAACATCAGAGAACCCTTTCTTCTCCCAGCGCGATTGAACCAGCCACCAAAGAGGCGGCGGCGAGAGTGAGGCCACACAAACACCCCGCTGCACAGCAGCCCGGCCCTCATGCCGAGGGGGCGGGCTCTGCTCGCCAATGCCCTCCCCTCCCCCCCCCCAGCTCCAGGCTGCCCGCCCCGTACCTCGTAGCCCAGCCGGGCAGCCCGCTGCAGGAGGGTCTCGCCAGCGTTCTTGTTGACAATAAGTCTCCGTGCTTCCGGTGGCATCGGGCGGGACTGGGTGGTCTCCTGAGGGGAACTTGAGCGCAGCAGCTGCGGAGCCTGGGAGGCCGGCAGCAGCTGCTGCAAGCGGTCAAAGGGCTTGGGGTCCTGCTTGGCTGGTGGTGACGCATCGTAGTCCGGACTGGGCTCGGGCCGCTTTCGGACGCGCCGCACGGTCATCTATCAGAGAAGCAGGCCACGCCCACAGTCAAGGCCACAGCCCTTTCAACACCTGCCCCTTGCCTGCTGCCACTGCCTTCGTGGATCAAGGTCCACGTGGTGGGGAGTGGGGTGGGATGGGGCTGTCAAAGGAGGGCGGGGGGAAGGCGTCTCACTCCTCCAAGATGGGGGAGCCCAGGCCAGGCAGGGGTACAAGCTGGGGCGTGGTGTGGCGGGCGGTGGGGGGGGGGGTACCTTGCCGTCGGCGTTGTCCACGTAGTAGTCCCCGGGCAGCGCCAAGCCCCGCCTGGGCTCCTGAGATATGAGGTGCTTGGTTTTGCATAGCCTCTTGCCGGATGGCTTCTCGCTGTGGTCCGGGTATTTCTGCAGCAGAGAGGCTGCGGGGCAGCCCTCGTCTTCGTCTGTGCACAGCACATCTGGCTTCGGGCTCTCTTTAAGTCTCGGCTGTCTGGCAGGCAGCCTCGAGGCTGGCGTGCAGCTTGGCTGAGTCTGCTTTTTCCCGCTTGCATTGGTGGATGAGAGACTCGTCCTGGGCAGAGAGCTGGAGAAGGCGGGCAGGCCTGGGTGCAGAAGGAGGAGGGGCGGGCGAGAAGCAGGCGTTACACGGTTGCAGCCGGAAGGGGCCCATTGTCCGTGCCCACCCCTGCAGCGGCTTCAGGTGTTAAAGATGCACCAGTTACCCTTTCCAAGCATGCATATTTTCATCAGCCCCCGTTCACCCCCAAAATGCCAAGCGGTAGGCTTCTTCAGCCAAGGGCCACGACAAGAGGCCACAAGCGAGGGCGGGGTAGCCAGCGTGGGTGCCTGGGGCCCCAGCACCTGCAGGCAGCCAGGGACTGGAATGAGGATGCAGGCAAAGCCCCCGGGGGCCACACGGCCTTGCCTTCCGGTCCAGCCTCAGGCAGGGGTGAGGAGCAGCCTGGGAAAAGTCAGGCTTCCGCCCCCCCCACCCCCGGGGAGGGGGTCAAGTAGTCCTGCCTGCCACATCCGCAGGGCCCCTCCCAGCAGCCTTTCCGTACCTTGCTCATTGTCACTGGACTTAAGGGACTCCTCGGACCAGCTTCGGTTGCCCTTGGCCTCTGTCCTTTTCCTGCTGGCTTTCTCTTCGCTGATGTCATTCCCCTGGATGGTGACTTCAGATGGAAGTGCCTGGGTCACTTCCTTCCTGCTTTGCCGGGCACCCTTATTCTCTGCGGCCGACACCTGCTGCTCCCACCGTTCTCTAAGGTGCAGCAAGTGGCGTTGCTTTTTAGGATGGAGCCCTGTTAATTCAATACACACCTTCAGGTTGGTCAGCTCACTATAATGTGGGTCTTCTAAGTGGTTAGAGGAACTGTTTGTCATTCCCCTCTCGGGCCAGTCATCTAATGGAGAAATAACTACAAATTAATCACCAAGCCCCCTGGGCGGGGAACAAACTGTCTTACACATCACTACTGGGGGGGAGGGGGGGAGGTGACCGCCTCTCTGCCTCAGCAGGTCACCTGCTTGTCTATGACCACATCTGAGTGCCTGTCCCGGGATGGGGGGGGTGGGGGAGGTGGGGTGCCGAGGTGGGGGTGGGGGAAGGTCTCACGGAGGTGGCGTGGGAATGGGAAGGCTCCCCCTCCCCGGCTCTGTCTATAGGGCAGCTCGCGCCTCCGCATGCACAGGCCCCAGCAGGCAGCCAAAGCCTGCCGAGCTCACCTTTGGAAAGCCGCCTCCGCTTGGCTTTCAGCACAGGGTCCTCCGGCAGTTCTTCCGCAGTGGTCTCGGTGTGGCTGCTGTCACCCGAGACTCTGCGCTTCCGGTCCAGCCGGACAGTGGGGCTGTGCGGCATGTCCGTGGCCGCCTGGTGTGCGGGCGGCTCGCTGGCAGGTGGCCTCTCGGCGAAGTACTTCTCCACAGGAAGATCTTTGTCCTCTGGGGCTTCAAAGGGATCGTGTTTGTTTCCTGCGCTAAACTCGCCTGCGCAGAGGGGTTGAAAAGAATGCATTGAGCCAGGGGCTAAAGCAGTCCGGCTGAGAAGGCAGGGGTTTGGGGCGCAAGTGCACCCGCCAGGTCACGCGCAGTGGCCAGCGGGCCTTTCGTGGAGACTGGGGTGCTCACACACTGGTGGCACATCAGGGCCACACTCACACCACTCTCTGGCCCTTTCCGTGGCGGCTCTTCAAGCAGCTCACGGGAAAATGCAGAGCGGAGAAAAGCAATTGCACGCATCTCGCAAACTTTTCGTACCCTAGGAAAGGGGAGGTGATGAAGACAAACCCATGGGAGATGACAGTGCCGGAGGCCAGCTGAGATGGCGAGCCTTGACAGCCAATGGTGAGGGTGACTTGTGCAGAGGATGTGCACAGGCCCAGGGTGCTGGGCAAAGCCAAAGGCAAGGTTTCCTAGCCCAAGTTCAGAGGCAACTTCAAAGAGCTCAGTCTCGTGGCTGCACACGCGCGCGGTGGGAAAGGCATGTCACTGCAGTCAAGGAGTGGCCCCATGGCACGCCTCCTCCGCATAGGCACCCCTGCTCCCCCAGTCCCTGGCTGACGTTTTCCTAGCCAGATCAGCACTCTGGAAGCTGCCCGAGACAGCCCCAGGATAGCCTGTCTGCACCCACCCCCACCTCCCCGGCTGCTTACTGCCCGCGGGGGTGGGGGTGGGGCTCAACCCAATTATCTACAAAAGCCCAACAAATAGCTAGTCCACTGCTTTCCTGCCACATCTTTTTTTTTTTTTTCCTGATCCGCAATAAAATACAAACGATAACAACAGAAGGACCACCATTAAAGCTAAGGTGTTTGCCCTTGGCCCACTGAAACGAGCCGGCACCTCCCCAGGGCTGTGAGTCTGGGATCTTGGTAGCTTGGAGCCGAGAGGCACAAGTCGGTTTCTAGATGAAATGACAAGACTCCCTTTCGCTAGATGAAATGACAAGACTCCCTTTCGCTAGATGAAATGACAAGACTCCCTTTCGCCGGCCCACTTCCAAGAGGGCTTGTCCTCCTGACCAGCCCGCTGCAGCTCCTCGCCAGCCTTCTGGGGGCATTCTGGTGCCAGCTGGCTATGGGCACAAGCTGCACGCGGGCAGGGCTGGCCCCACTCAGCCCCCTCTCCGAGGGTGTGCCTCCCAAGGCAGGCCAGACGGGCTGCGTCTACTCTCGCGGTGGTACGCCCTATGGACTGGCAGAGCCGAGCCTGGGACTGGGCAGCCAGACTCCCCACCCCCATGGCACGACACAGTACTACCAGCAGGCTCGGCAAGCTGCAGGCTCCCCAACTCTGGTCCCTGCTTTCAGGAGGGATCTAACAACACAGCCGCTGCCCCGGGCTTGGATTCCCTGGCAAGGGCAGCCCCTTCTCAGCTGTCAAATGGGTCTGCGAGCTGTCCCCCGAGGGGCAGCCTTGGTACACATGAGCTGTGCCCAGTCCAGGGAAGGCCTGAGACAGTTATCCAAAGGCTGCCGAGATCCTGAGGCCAGCTCGAACTTGTGACTCCAGTATTTGAAACTCTTAAAGCCAACCACCTCCAACCTTTTAGGTGGGAAAGATGGTTCCGACCGGTAGGCGTCAAAGCAGAGGTGGCTGCACTGTGTCCTAGTCAGAGACAATAGCTGAGCCGGGCCCCACCCTGGCACCTTTCTCACACCAGTTCTCTCCCCCAGCAGATAAAGGAAGAAATCTCCCTGCCCTAAATGCTTTGGCTTCAACTTGCACACCTTACACTTGAACTCCAGGTCTCATATAGTCACTAGTGGGGTTTCGTTTGTTTGTTTTCTAAAGATGTATTTATTTATTTGAAAGCAGAGTTACAGACAGAGAAGAGATCTTCCATCTGCTGGTTCACTCCCCAAATGAATGCAATGGCCATGGCTGAGCCAGGCCAAAGCCAGAAGCCACCCTCCCCTGCTCTCCCAGGAGCATTAGCAGGGAGCTGCATTGGAAGTGGAGCAGCCAGAACTCAAAGCGGCACCCATACGGGATGCCTGTGCAGCAGGCCGTGGCTTAACCCGCTGAGCCGCAGTGTCAGCCCCCAGGCACTGATGTCTTTAACAGTTTCCACCCCCCTAAGATATGTTTTTCGGGGAGAAGGTTTTCCTTCCACGTGCTCACTTCCACTGCGGGCTTCCGGATAGCGAAGTTGAGTTAATAACTCACCCAACCTTCTGCCAAAGCTGCCCATACCTTCTGCCCACAGAACAGCACCATGACCTCTAAGGCTCACTGGAACCGCACCTACCCACTCACCTCCGTCTATCCCAACCTCCAAGCCTCTGACTGCCTTGGTGAAGACCTTCATGAAGGGTGCAGGGGTGACAGCTCGTGGGCCAAGCAATAATCTGAAGAACCCCTCCCCCCAGCCTGATTGCCACCAGCCACGGAGAATGGGCTCTGTGTCACAGCCCTGCACATCACCTTGGACTTCCTCCAACCACTACCTAGTGGATTAGCCTCGCGACGAAGGAGGTGGGTTCTAAGCATTAGACTTCTCCATCGCTGCTCCCTTTCGGCCCTTCTGAAGGTGACAAGCCACATGCTAACTCAATGTAGGCAGGCATGAACAGAGCCGCGCGGCCGGCGGTTTTAACACTTGCTTGCTCCCTGTAGCACGGTCAGATGACTCAGCACACGCATCTTATAATCTATCATGGTTGTGCCACAGCACCACCTCACTGATGCATCGCCATGGCGACATTTACAGGTCACCCTGGCAACAAAGCAACCTCACCACTGAGGCAACCATGCCCAACGAGCCCTAAACGAGATGGGAGAGTACTGAGACTTGCCCAAGAGGTCAAGTCCCTCGGCGGTGACTGTACCACCTCCCGCAGAGCCTGGCCTTGTTACAACCTGCGCCGCCTACAGCAAAGACATGAGCCATCTCTCGGCTCTCAACCCCAGAGCAGCTCAAGGAAGGCGCGCATGTGCTCTCCGGGACGGGAATTTTCCTGAGCCACCAGGTGCCACGAGGCCCTTTGGCTCCCCAGGACACTGCCACAGAGCAGGTTCCAGGTCGACTCCAGCCAAGTGGCTGACACAGGAGATGGTCACCCACGGTCAGGGAGGAAGGGCCCAGTGCCTCCGTGTCCCACCCTCCTACCCATGAGCCTTCAACTTTCAGGAGACTCCTAATGCATCTGTCCAGTTTCTACAACGAAAACTTGACCCAGTCGCCCAGGTTGTCATAAACCCAGTCGCCCAGGTTGTCATAAACAGAAAAGGTGAGCCCTGACCACGGCTTCCAAGTTAATTCCCTTTTCTTAAAGGCGCCCTCCCCGACTCCCCGCCGCCGTCTCAGAAGCCAGTGATGCCTCCTGCCCACCTCAGCTCCTGGATGATCAGAGCTTGGTTCTTTGGCCACCATGAAACCCATGAGAAGAGAACCGAAGAGCCCCTTCCGGAGCAGGGCCCGGGCTGGGGGAAGGGCCATGAACTGAAGGCCAAGTTAATTTTGCAGCTGAGTGGATGCAGCACCTGCTGTCCCCTGAAGTGGCAGGGGCAGCAGCAAGGACAACAACCTCTCTACGGGCACTCTCCTCGATCAACCGCAAGCCACGAGTCTCTGGAAAGGTCTGACCCACCTCCCGTTTAAAGGCCAGCCTTTGCCTCCCCTCCCCCGCCACCCGCGCTCAGCGCCATGGCTGATCACACACTCAGTGGGGATTTACGGCTCTCAGGCTCACTGGGCCCCGGTCAGAAGCCCCAAGGGGTCCCGGGAGGCCTTCCTGGGTCTCCTGGGGCTCGGGCCCTGCTCCCCACTGTCACATGGAGCTCTCTGTTTGGCACAGAACAGGAACATCCCTGGGAGGAAGGCACAGGTGATGAGGCCAATCAGATTTGAATATGTACACGGTGGCTAGCCAGCTGGCCGGAAGTCTGGGCGTGTCATTTGAAAACCGGAAAAAAAGGCCCAAAGGCTTGAAGCTGGCTGAGCTCCTGGGCCCCCTTCCTGCAGCCTCCCTTTCCCTCAGAGCAAAGGTGGCCCCTCTCTTCTAGAAGCGGTGCCCACCTCTGCCAGGTCTAGCAGCCCTTCCCAAGAGCCCACGGCACCAGGCACGCAGGAAGGGGAGCTGAGCGCCAGCCAGCAGGAAGGCTTTCTTTGCAGCCTCTCCCATGAGCAGTTTGCGCCGGCCAGTGCACGCGGTTAAGGGGACTCTGCTAAGTGGGCGAGACCCTCCGAACCAGCAACACAGACCACCTTTCTTGGAACTACCGCACAACGTACCCAGAGCACGGGGATGAACTGGAGGCGGGGGCGGACAGGGCTGACCAGTTTTGCCCCAAACACCATGGGCACGGGGAAACTGCGCAGGGAATGCCAAACCTTCCATGGTCAAGGGCACCGAGCTCTCACACACGCCCCACAACTCTCACTGTCCTGTCTCGCGAGGGTTTGGTACCTGCTCTCGCTCGCTCCACGCACACGACACCCAAATTCGAGCTTTCTGAGGCTCAAAGCAATCCAGCAAGCACTTTCGAGAAAGGAAGACATTCTCTTGCTCCCAACACAGCTCATCCCGGGGGAAATCCCCCAAGGTCAACCCCAGCGGGGACCAGCTACTGGGGGTGGAAGGGCGTCCCGAGGAAGGCCCTTGCCTTCCCTACATGTTTCGCCTCCAGGATGTGAGTCACTCTCGGGCCCCGTGCAAAGAGCCACACTCTGCAGGACTGTCGCCAATGATGGCAAAAGAGCATCCACCGCGAGCAACCGTGCTCATCTTGACGGCGCCCTCACGCCACCTCAACCAAGCCTACACCTTCATACGTCACCGGGTGGCAGCTGGGGGTGCAGGACATGGCTGGGAGGTGCCATGCCCTGCTACAAGGCAGAACAGCTCGGGCGCTGTACTGTGTGGAACCATTCCCAGGCACGGCACCGGCACTTCTCTGGAAAGAGACAGGTGTCTCCGCGAAGGGAGCCTTCCCGGGTGCCTCACCCCCCCCCCCCCCCATAGCTGCCACAGCGTTCCAACACACAGCCAACTAACACAGGAGCGAGCCCCCGGCCCCAGGCAGACACCAAGTGGACCGCAGAGCCTCCTTCCCACCCTGGGCCTGGAAGCGCGCTCGCCCTGTGTTCACCCACACCACACCCCCAGGCCAGCCGCTTGGGTTTACTTACATCTCTCGTTGTCATTCTGGTCCGCAATGGCCTCCTCCAGGGCGACAGACTTGGGCTTTCTGTCCTGACTTCCTTTCAACCTGTCCCAGTCGGCTGGACTGAATTTGGACACCTCGGTGTCTTTGGTTGCTGGGTGGCCACATTCTCTCTCTTTCATCTCCAATTCTGAGAAGCGCATCATTGCACGCTAGAAAGAGAATGGAGATGAAAAAAAAAACAACAACAACACAACGACAACAACAAAACAACACCTTACCATAAAAGCGAGCTCAATTTGTCTTACCTTAAAGGAAAGCATTTCAGAGAAAAGTTTGCCCAAAACCAACCACAATTTAAGATATAACTCACATATTTAGAGCTTAAAGATAAAATTTAATAGCATCTCTATGTAAGTAGCCACACATTGTTTACTTATTACGTCATACGGATATAGATTATCTATGCGGTGTGTATGCATAGCCACATACAGGATTGCATACAGACAGACATTTTCTCTCGCAGATAAGTAAAAACACAACAGAAACACAACGCAAAGGGAACAGCACAACAACACAACAGAAAAGAAACAAATGCACAATGAATAAAGACGACCATGGCCCACAAACTTCCCTTTGTATATTTGGAAATGAAATTTAACTCAAAAGGTTTATGTAAGATTCTAGTAATAAAAATTTGAAGAACTGACCTCACAGAAAGCAGCGGGTAGACATAAAATACTGTCCTCTTGTAATCCTTCCATCTATGTAATTAAAATGGGCACTCAATGGATCATTTAGATAACTTCATCCATTTTTATAAGCAAAAACCAATTTTTTTCTTAACATTGCAAAACAATTTGGCTTCATTCATCTTTTAATTAAAGCTAAAATATCTTAAAGGAAATTCCTGCACAACATCTATCACAATTCACCAGCAAATTAAACACATACTCTATCCCTTTAATTGAGCTTTTCTCTCTCTCTCTCTCCTTCTCTGTCGGTGACAAAACTGCACACGATTCCCACAGACATGCGGCCGCTACACTGCACCAAGTATCAAGTAAGGCATTCTAAGCAACACTTCTGCAACTATCTGCTATCTTACAGGCAGAGAAATCAAAGCAATTAATAGGTAAACGCCATGCATCTCTAGATACCTTTCACGATCATTAAAACTTCTGGTATCAGCATGTGTGCGAGGTTCTCGCATCATCTACATACAGCGTAACTGCAAGTATCCAGACACACGGACCGCCTCCTAAGCGCGCTACCACTCAGGTCCCCTTACTGGACACGTGGCATACATGCCAATTGCCATAACGCCTCATTCGCATCTGCCTGGTGCCTTGCCCTACCGCGTTCCCGCAACCCTCCTCCAGTTAACTGAAATCCGGCCGGTGGGCTCACCTGCAGTGCCCGCTGTTCCCGGCTGAGCTGACTGGAGTCCGCGTACAGTTCGGTGGTGACACACTTGAAGCGATCACCCACATAACCCGCCGAGTTGGCGATTCGCTTCGCCAGCTTCGATGGCTTCGGTTTCAGAACTTTGCCATCGCTAGGCTCTGTCTCATCAGCTCCATCTTTGGTATAGGAGGGGGCAACGTCCACGCTCGGAGGGGCACTGCCCACGCAAAATGGTTTGGGGTCCTCTTGGGCTTTCCCGAAAGCCACCGCAGGGCCGTCGCTCCCCAGGGTGGGCTCCAGGAAGGGAGTGGATGCTGGTACCCCGAGGTTCTCCTTGTTGGTGCCCACCGCCACAGCGTCTTTGTTTATGCTGAACACCGGCTGGCCCGGCGCCTGCTTGAAAGTGTAAGTGTCATGGAAGTCTCCGATCCGCCCCAAGTCCTCTCGCAGGGCAATGAAGTCCCGATGTGGCTGCAGAGCCGGGTCCGGCGGCGGCTTGGCGGGCTCCGCACTCTGGCCCACACTCTCGGCAGCGAAGCTGGCCTTGGCCGCGTTCGGCTCGGCCTTGGTGTCTGCTTCTTCTCGGAGCAGGTCGACATAGACCAGCTTGTCACTTTTGCCAACGGTCTTGCCTTGACTCCAGCTGGGGTTGGCCTTCAGGTTCTTGTCGCTGGGAGCTTCTGGGTGGAGCTTGGTGCCGCTAGCTTCCAGCATCTCAGAAAACCGGCTGCGGAGCGCTGGGTCCTCGTATCGGGCTCTCTCGTGGGACCGGGACCTCCTTTCGGCTTTCTCCTCTTTCGCGATCTCTATGGGCGTGTGCGGGATCAGCATGGGATGTACCATGCCCAGCCCCAGGGCATCCTGGTAGGTCACAAACTCTGGCCGGCCCGTGGGCAGCCCATAGGGCAGTCCAGGCTTGGGGGCCAGGTGCCCAGGAAAGAGACTGCCGTTCGGTAACAGAACTGGGTGAGGGTAGACGGGTCCTTTGCCATGTAAGGACAGGGGACTGATGGCGATCCCCTCAGGCGCCGGGTAAGGGAGGTAACTCCTGGGGTAGGGGATCGGTGGTGACCGGAAGGCCTCGTTTGGAGACAAGAAGATGGAGCTTGGTGGGAGGCCATTCTCACTCGCTTTGAAGCTTGGTTCCGGGTTGCTCGCTTTGGTGCCCTTGCTGCTGGCGCTGCCACTGTGCTTGGCAGGGGTGGTCGGGGGCTGGCCCACGTGCTGAATGACAGATGGTGTGGTGTCCACGGAGCTCCTGCTGGTCTTGGTGCTGTCGGTGTTGGCATTGGGGGCTGGCGACGCGGAGGCTGGGCGGCCCGCGCTGGGCAGGGAGCCCGAGACGCTGGCGACGACGGCCTCGGTGCCGCCCATGCGGGGACAGGACGAGCTCCGTTGCTGTGGGATGGCCCAGTCCAGCGTCTTGTTTTTCAGTGTCACGCTTTTGCCGCTGCACTCCTCGCTGGGACTTGGCCCGGGCACCACCCAGGACGAGGGAGCCGTGCTAATGATTTCAGATCTATAGATAGCACAGCCGCTTCCCGGGGGAGACAATGTTTCTTTTGGAATGTCACTTCCGGAGAGCACTAAGCCACTTCCAGCCCTGCTATGAACCAGGACCGTGGGGGCCATCTTCTTCATGTGGTCGGCTTTGGAAGCATCTACATCCACCACTTTCGAGGACAAGTCCAGTGGCTTGTCGGTGACGTCTTTGGTAACGGTCTGCTTCTCCAATAGGGGAGGTGAGCCGCCATCTTTCCTGTCCTGAACCGTTGTCGTCTTCCGGGGGTGCCCGGGCACCGACGGGGCACCTTCGCTGCCTTCGGGGGCCTTGGGATACTTGCCGCCCGACAGCCTGGCCGCGGGGAACTCGCTGCTGACTGTCATGTATGGCTTCGACAGGGTGACCGATGGCGAGGTGGAGATCCTGCCGTAATGCTTGTGAAAGTCGGAGTAGGTATCCGCAGCCGGCTGCGTGGGCAGGTGGAGGCGGGGCGAGGGCCGCGGTGAGGGCGGCAGCAGGAGGGCCGCGTCCCCCGGCAGGCCACTGCTGACCGCCTTGGCGGAGGGCACCCTCGGCTGCTTGCTGTTCTGGATGTGGGGGTAGGCGTGGGAGTCGACGGGGTTCCCCGGGCTCACGCCCATCTTCCACGAGAGGCTTTTGTCTGCGCAGTGGACCAGCGGTGGCATGGCAGGCGAGGCCGAAGGGGTCGAGAGCCTCATGGGGGAGGCCAGGGAGGACGGGATGTGGGGGCTGACGTAGTGAGGCGGCGGCAGGTAGAGGAAGCGCTCCCCGTTGGTGCAGACTGGAGAATACAGTGGCTGTGCCAGGCTGTAGGACTGCTGAGGTAGCAAGGCCTTGTACATGTTCAATGAATACTTATTTGGCGAGTCGAGGAAAGGGTAGATGGCTGGCGTGGCTCCGTCCATGTAAGGATTGACCCAGGGCAGCCGCAGGTAACTAGCACCATTTATGTTAAGCGAGCTCTGCTTGTCGCTGGCGGGCCTGTCCAGGCCCAGTGTCTCCGCGGGGGCCACGGCACTTTTTTGTATTCCAGGTGGGGTTTTGTAGATAGCACTGAAGCCATTGGGGGGTTTCCCGGAGACGGCGGCCACCTCCACCGTCTCGGGAGTGTTCGGTTTGAACTGTATCTCTGGGTTTCTTTCGGAAGAGAAGCCCAGGCCACCGAGGGAGCTGGGGGCAGCGTCCCGGCCTTTCTCGGAGCCCAGTCCGCACAAGCTGGAGTAGACGATGTTACTGGGGACCCGGAGCCCTTCGCGGATCAGACCCGTGCGGTCCATGCTCAGCGCGGCCAGGCCATCGATGCGATGGGCCGTGCTTGTGTCCACCTTGGTGGGAAGAACAGACACGGTGCGTTACTGGGGGCCCTCCTGCAAAGCAGCCCTCAGCCTCCAGGCCCACAGGCTGAATTCAGGCATCTATTAACCCTGGAAAATCCACCTTCTCAGCAAAAAGTCCTCGCTCCAAGGAGACAGCTAACACAGCCGGGGCTGGGGCTGGGGCCAGGGCCAGGGAGGGGGAGGACAGGGAGACTTCACCTCGCTTTCCCCACACCCAGGAAGGCAGCATTTAACGGAACAAGAAACAGTCCTCCTTGGGACCACAGGAACGGAGGGCTTTTTAGCTAGCTCGTTGCTAAATCAATACACAGGCCAGGGGTCAAACTGTGGTTGCGTCTTTTGACTTCCTCTCCCTGGTGCCTGAAGAGACAAGCCCTGTGTTTCATATTTTACTGGAAAGGTAAGCCCGAAGGGGCTCCGTGGAAGCTGGGAATTTATCCAGCTGAGAGCAGCGAGGTGGCACGAAGCTTCCCAAAGAACAGGCAGCCACAAGCCACCAGTCACTGGGGGACGGGACAGACGGGGCCAGCGTGCCACTAAAAGATCAGGACGGGAGGAGTGGCGCCAGGAGCCTTGTCCTGCAGCACAGCACAGGCTGTCTCCCTGGCCCTGCCCTAGAAGCTGCCCCCTCCCCCCCTCCTTTAATGACATGCAAATTAATGCACGATTGATTACAGATCACTAATATCACAGCAACAGAAGCTATTAATCGCTTACCACGTTGTGGTTCAAGGGATTCTCTTCCCTCAGTTCCAATCTGGCTTTTGAAGCGTCACCATCATTTACAGGAATTTTCCTGTTGAAAAGGACACAGAGACTTCATGAAAGCAGTCCTCGCTGAATCCGGGAACGCGCCCTTCAGAGCCGCGCCCGGAACAGGCCGTTTGCTGCTACCAGCCCCGTATTTTCAACTGTCCCTCGCCCTCCCCAGCGGTGAGTGGGGCATACTGAAAAGTGTCCCAAATGGTGATTCGCCTTGACCCAGGAAAAACAAAGAAAAGGCAGGGCCTGTGGGGACAGGAAGCACAAACACATCCCCTAGGTGCCTCAGCCTGAACTTCCGGCACAACTGTGTCATGCACACATCTTTATTCTAGAGACCAAACAGGCCCATGTGAGCCCTGCTGTCCTGGCCAGTCCTTGTAAGCGTCCCAGAGGGCGGGATGAGTGGCCAAGAGTCCGGGGCTGGGCACCCAAGCACTTTGGTGTTACCCGGGAGGGCAGGCTTTCAAAACTTTTCCCCCCAACAAAGTTAGGGACCATGTCCTCCAAAATGGGTTGCCATGGTGATAATGAAGTCATATTTGACTGCCTTTATCAAAATGACGGGGGGGGGGTACACACTACTATCATACAAATGTCAGCTGCTCCAGGCTGCAGAGGAAGCTGCACATCTGTGCCAGGCTGCTGCGGCTGCCCTGGGACTTGTTATCAGAGAGCGTCGATAAAGACGGCGCTTGGTGCCAACTTCCAAATCCCCAGGATACAATCGCTGACAAGCAGCGGAGGAAAAGTTTCATCATTACCCCAAAGAGCGGCTTCAATCATCTGCGGCTTGCTTGCTCTACTCCCCCCACCACTCCGCGCCCCCACTCCACAAGCGCTGCAGAGCCGGCGGCGGTGCGAGAAGGGACCAGACACCCTGGGCTTGCGTGGAGAGAAGGGTGGCTAGCTCCCCCGCTTATTACTGAGCAAACTATTTGTTTTAAAAGCACATCGAATGCAGATCCACCTGGGCCCACACTCCTGACATTTAGAGTTAAAGCAGCATATAGACTGGGATTAATTCTCCTTCATAAATATGAAATAATAAATTAAGCACGAAAGTGCACTGAAAGGCCGCTTTAGGGGCTAATCTTTTAAAGGGCGGCGATGCTTCGCTGAGCCAGGGTGCCTGTTAAACCTGTAAATCAAGGGCCGCCAGCTAGCAGGGGCTCCTTCTCCCCCACCCCTCGGGGCCCTGCTGGCCGTGGAAAGGTGGGCACATTTACCTGTCTTCGCTGGTCCCACACATGCGGACCCGCTCGCTGCTCATCCAGCTGTGAACGTTTCCATACAGGGGGGTTGCTGAGAGCATGTCTCCTTCTTGGATGGCAGCTTTGCGTTAAGCGTCTATTCTGTTTCAAAAAGAAAGAAGGGGGGGGGGAGACAAAACCCACGAGGTTGAATAAAGGAGAGCTGTGAACAGCCAACTAGGCAATTCGTCCCAGACACAGCCTCAGGAAGGCACACGGGGCTTGAGGGCCCACAGGTGTGCAGTACACACCTGCCCCCCACACCCTACAGCAGGTGCACAATGCAGCTTCCTTGGCTGGTGGGGGGGGGGGGCGGTGTTTTAAAGCCAAACCCGCAGCCCATCCAAGTCACAGCACACAGCCTTTGAAGTGCTTAGTGGCCAAGGAGAAAGCCACTCATCCTTGTTCCTCGTCAAAGGGGAGACAGACTTTATTCGGCGGGGAGAATGGGTGGCCACAGTCAGTCCAGGGACCTCTGCCACAGGGCAGTGGGTTGCTGGCAAAGAGGCACCCACTGCGGCGCGTCCAGGGCTCAGACTACAACGCGCTTCCAAGGCTGAATTGCCAAGGCTGCTGTCCGTGCAACTTCCAGATAGAGGGTGGGAAGAAAAAAAAACCGCACAAAACAACAAAAAAAGAGTCGGTGGGCTGCTGAGCTGCCCCACTCGGGGCCTAGACGAGATTAAGCACCTTCCCCGGGTAGTTTTGCCTGGGTGGTTTTGCCTGGGAGCTGCAGAGGGAGGTGGCTGAGTAATTCAATGACGCCTGCTCGCTGGGGACAAGAAATCATTAGCGAGCAGAGCAAGTGTTAGCAGCCCAGGCTGATGGGCTCAGAGCCGGAGCAGGCAAAAGCCACCCATTTCCCAGCTCCTGGGAGGGGGGAGGCTGCGGAGGCAGAGGAGCCCAGACCACCTCCCCCCCCCTTACCTTCCCTGCCCACCACCCCCACCCACATCACATTCTAGTTTGCTGCATGAGTGAAGGGTCAGGACAAGCTGCATTTTATTAACAGGATTATCACGGCGCGTGATTTATCCTCGTGCAGGATTTTAATTGCTCTTTGGAGGGTGAGCCGTTTCTTTTGACTGCGCTTCAGCCCATATCCTGCTGTTAAATGCTGGGTTAATAAGTAGGGGAGCCTTTAATGCCTGGGACCCATGGCCCTTGGCAACTCTCTGCTCACAAACACATCTCCTGGCTCCCCTGGCCGGGATCTGGCCGCGGCATTTTTCCACGGGACCCAACCCGGCGAGGAGTGTGAAATAATCGGCGAGCGGATCATCAGGGGAACTTGTCTTTCTCCTCCCTCACACACCCACCCACACAGTTTCCGAAAGCCCAAATGTTCCCGAAGTCGACACATTTCCTTTGTTAGCAGGGAAAAAAAAAATATGCAAATGCTTGCTTTTACACTTTAGCAGACTGGCGGGTCGCTGGGTTGGAGACAACCAGGCCGTGGCAGGGAGGGACTCTTCGCTGAGAGTGACTGCGGGTGGGGGGTCGGGTCGGGGTCGGGAAGCACCTGGGAGCACTGAGGCCTCTCTAGGTCTTGGGTCCACCCGCACCACCCCCCTCCGCCGCCGCCGCCGCAGCCCCCAACCGTAGAACACCGGCTGTTAATGAAAATCCACATGCCCAGAGACACCACGCACAGTTAGAGCTCAACAATGAAACTGGAAGAGCCGGAAGGGGGCCGGGGAAGAGGCAGTAATCTGCATGAGGCGTGCTGGGCTCGGAAAAGTCTGCAGACACACAGAGGGCTTTCCAGGGGGGCTGGCCAGGGCGCCCCAAAGGCTGCCTCGGGCGTGGGGGAAGGGGCTGTTCTTCCATCAAACAAATACCCAAGGCAAGTGGAGAAGGCCACACCACGAGGCACCATCAACGAGTGCGCCCTCCCCAGCCCCTGCCACCCCCCTAACAGAGGAAGACCTGCAGGGTCGCCTCAGACAAGGTGGAGCTTCAGCCCTTGGTGCTGTGTCCTGGTTATTGGGTGGCAGCCGCGAGGCCACACCACGTCATTCCATCCAACTACCAAGCAAAGAAATGAGGCTCGAAGAAGCAGGTGCCTAAGAAACTGCGAGCTTCCGGCCGCATGGTTCTCACATCCTAGCCTCCCCTTCAAGCAAGCTGCCTCCCACACGCCTCCTTTAGTAGCCACCTGGTGAAAAAGGACCTCCTGGGACCTTGCACAATCACCCTAACCCAGTCCCCGGCTCCCTCGCAGAGGCGCCGGGGACTAGGTGGAAAGGCGGATGGAGTGGAGTGGCACCCGGGACCATCGGGTGCTAGCCCGGCCTTCGCCCTTTGGGGCCTTCCCTAGTCCTGCTGCACAGGTCAATGAGAGCAGCCATCAGAAAGAAGAGCCGCGACACGCACAGGGTCAGCTGGAGAGTTGTGGCCAGGAGCACGGCTCAGTGTCATCTGTGTGTTTGGGGAGCAGGAAGGGGGCTGGGGCACCAGGAGGCTGCTGTGGACTACACACACACTCACACACACACACTCACACACTTATAATCTTTAGCTGCCCCATGAACTTTTTGTGAACTGTTTAAAAGTGGAGGTCTGTTGAACAAACAGCGGCGCCACTGCCAGCCATAATTTCATTGCAACAAGCTAAAGACTTTTAACTCTTCAGGTTCCTGGCCAGCCACGGAGCCAATGAAGAATGGCCTTGCCTGGCAGGAAGCCCTTCTCCAGGGTGACAAACAATAGCAGCCCAAACCCCACCCCACCCCCACCCTGCGGCAGGGCAGCAGCAAACACCCAAGCACTAAGCCTACTTCCACGGAAGCCACTACCATGACCCCGCCCCCGCCCCTGCACTGGGATGGAGACTGAAGGAGCCACCGGGGTGAGACACAAAAAGGCAGAGGTACGGCACACTCCTCTCTTACCCCACTTCCAGAAGCTGCGGTTGAAAGAGCCCACCCCAGCCCCAGCCCCAGCCCCAGCCCAGCCATGGCACACAGGCAAATGAGCTGATTGCCAGGACAAACAGCAGCAAGGCGCTTTGCTGCCATGCAGGGGGCTCGCTTAGCCCTGATTTTCAGCAGGCCTCTTCTTCCCTGTGCAGGCTGCACGGCTGCAAGTGCCAAAGCGTGTGAAGTCACTCATGAAAGGCACTTTACAAGCACCAACCTGTCTCCAGCGTGAGCTGCTAAGCTGCACCTTGGCTCCGGGTCCTGACCCTTCTCGCCAGTAGTGGAGACCAGGGGACAAGGAGGAGGCGGATCGGGATGGAGGGGAGGATGGCTGAGCAGAGACAGGCCAGGCACGGAGGGTGTCTGGTTTCTCCAGCACAGACTGGGAAGCTGCACAGGCTGCCTGCTGGAACACCCAGTTCCGGGGGAGAGCCCTGGCTCGCAGGCACGCCGCGTGGTCTCCCGTCTCGGGCCACTGCTGCTAATAGAAAGCGGAGAACTTGGGTCAGCATGCACACACTTGGAGCAGGCATTTGCTCCAGAGCCAAGGGTTCTGACTAGAGTGCCTGCACTTGGCCTGCACGCAGCGAAAAAGGCCTGATGGGTACAAAGGGGTCCCAGGAGCCAGGGTTAGGAGGCAAAACCCTGGCCACTGCTGCCCCGCCCCCGAAAGGACACCATTCCGGGCTGCGGGAAAGGACAGGCCACTCGCTGTTCCTCTCCAGGGCATTTTCTCCCAGCGACTGGCATGGGAGGGACAGCGGCCAGCACTGGGGCCCGCGTGGCCCTTTTCTTTCCTAACACGCTGGCTCGGGCTGCACCAGGCCAACCTCGCGTTGCCTCTGCCCTCGACCATTTACAGCTGCCAGCCCATCACAGCCCCCTGAAATCAGACCAAAGCCTCCTGGTGTGGTTCTGCCTCACCTAGGCGCCCCTCGTCCACAGCCAGCCGGCGGCCAGAAGGCCTGGAGAAGTTTGCAGGGACTTCCGGCTCGGGAGGCCCCCGTGGGCATCAGCGACCCTTGCCACCACAGCCTGCCCGGTCCCCAGCCTCCCGCACGGTGTGTCTCTGGGCAGGTGGCCGAACCTCTCCAGCCTTAGTCCCCTCTGTAAATATTTGGCACTGTGTTTTCCAGAGGATTAAGCTGCACTATGGACTTGAGTTTTGCCTGGCAATAGCTGGTGCTGGCTATTTAAAAGCATCAGCCTCCACTAAACAGGCTTCAAACAAGTCCCTGCCAGTTCCCCTGAGGCGGGGGGGGGGGGGGGGGGGGAGGCGCGGGTTTGAGGCAAGCAAGGGGGAGGGGGATGACCTGCAGTGCTGCCCCAAGCTAAGGGGGGAGCTTCAGCAGACTGGGTCACAGCCTTACTGTGTGCCTGGTGTCAAGGGAGGGAGGGGTGAAGCCTTCCTATTTTTAGAATATTGGGGGAGGGGCTCCTTGGGAGTGGGAGGAGGAAAAGCTGTCTGGGATGTACAGCCTGGGGCAAGTCTTCCTGGGCTGCTGCTTCGGCTGTGATGTGACTGAGGAGCAGGGGACCCCAATGCCGCCCCCAGGTCCTGGGCAGCCAGCGGTGTGCCCCAGGAAAGTGGCTGCCCTGGCTACTTCCTCCACCAGCTCCTCCACCCCCCACACCGGTATCAAAAGGGTTTGGCAGGGAGTAGGAGGAGTGACCCAGTAGGGCACGGGTGCTGTCTCTAGGTACACTCCTAGGGTAGCATTAGTCTCTGGGGGCGTCCCCACCCACCCCCCAAATTTTGCATTAGTAACAGGCTGAGTGGGGGCGCCAGAAGGGAGGGGCTAGGAAACTTGCCCAGCTCTGACCTTTAAGCGCCCAGAACCCTCCTTGCCTCTCCCCGGGTCGCCTAGGTCAGAAGGCAGAGCCACCCGGGTCGGGAGTGAACTTGGCCCTGGGCAGCGGGAAGGGGGGGGGGAGGGGGGCCCTTCCCAGCGACGCAGCCCGAGCGAGTGCCACGCCGAGCGCTATCGGTAGGCAACAAAGGGATTTTTCCCCCACCACACACACACACACACACACACACACACACTCGTGCGGCTCCTCCGCCAAGGACGCTGCGCGGGGCGCGCCGCGGCGCACACCCACGCCCTCGCGACGCGCCCCCGCCAGCCTTCCAGGAACTCCAGCAGTCCTCCCCACCTCCCCAGTCCCCGACCCTAGTTAACCCCTCGGACCCTGCGACCCAGCGCGCGGCTCGGTGGTCCCCCTTCCGGAGCTAGCGCGGAACCTTCTGTCCTGCCACACTCCGACAAGCAGAAACTTTGGGTGGGGGCGGGGAGGCACCAGGAGAACCAGAGACCTCCCGGGAAATGCCCGCGAACCCACCGCGCATCGGCGCTGCAGCCCCCCCACTCCCTGCTGTCACTCAGGGATCCCTTGGGATCAGAAAGGCGCGTTGCTCGTCTGCACGCTTCCCCTGGAAGGATGTGAGCCAAACGGAATGGGGGAGGAGCGTGGCCCCGGAGGTTCCACAGAGGGGGCGCAGCAGCAGGAATCAACCGAGGGTAGCTGCCTCGCGTGGACGCGCGCGCGTGCACACACACACCCTCCCCCTCCCCCAGGGTCAGGTGTGCCGGCCTATTCAGGCCATGGCGTTGGCTTTTTGTTCCTTTCACTTTCCCCCAGTGGTTATGCCACACCAGAAATCAGGGAACCACGTGCGCATTCTAGAGGGGGTGGATTTGTAAACAGGTGTCCCGAAACAGGAGGCCACCCAGTAGCAAAAACCTATTACTCTCCTCTCCTCCCCACCCCCCAACAACACAGGCCCTGCCCTCTATAATCCCGGCGGCTCTGGGGCCCTGTTTGGAGTCTACACAACCCAGTAGCAAATGTAGAAGAAACGGTCTACACCACACCTCTAAAAACCCGTGTCTGCACTTCCAGCTCCGCCAGGGCTTTGCAGGAATAAAACGCATTTTAATGTCCCCTCTCAACAGAAGCCAGCAACCTCTACCATAAGGCTAACAACAGCTAGCATTAGTATACCCAGGAACCACAAAAGAACTTTTAGTGCACAAAAGATGTACAAAATGCAGGGGTCCCAAGAGCCACATGAGTCCCCCCACCCCGACTGTGCGGAACCTAGGCATGAGTTCCTAGGAGAGAGTTTCAGCAAAGCTGAGGTTGAGGGTGAGTGGAAGGGAGTGCCTACTGCACCTTCTCTACAAGGAACAATAGAAATCCCAGGAAGCGAAAACAAAGCCGAGCCGTGGGGCAACTGCGGGCTAGGTGGGGGCCCCTGAATTTTTGTAGCTGTTCAGAGCTTAATTACTCCTCCTTGATCCGTGGGACCAGACACGACACCGCCAAGGTTAAAATGCCCCGAACAGCGCCGAGCAGATGTGAGCGCGAGCTGGCAGACGCGCAAATGAGGCCTGCCTCGGAGCACGATAACAAGTGACTAATACATTGCATATCGTTGAAAGAAAATTATTTTTCTCTAATTTGCATTTGCTTGGGGGAAAAAAAAAGCCAACCCAAGTCCCTCCTCACAAGCACGAGTCTAATCCTGGAAATACGGCCCGGCTGCTTTAAGAGAGCTGGAAGGAGGGAAAGACTGCCAGTGTTTTGGCGTTGCGGGCTTGTTTATCTTTCCGCCTTTCCTCCAAGGCGAAACTCGTTTTGCAAGCAACATTCCTACAGAAAATGGCACACGTCATAAAAAGAGACCAATTTATAGAACTGGCACCGAAGTTCATGTATCACTCCAGAAGCATCTCCCGGCTCCCCCATACGGAACCCAACTCAAAGTAGAAGTCCAGAGAAACATTTGCAGATATCCTGTGGGCCGTGCACCCAGGGGCCCAAGTCACAGCCGAACAATGTCACACGTACAATGAAGTCAGCATTGAACGAGCCTTCAAACCCCAGGGTGGACCAAGTGGCCAGGCCTGCAGGGTTTCAACCTGGGAATTCCTGGCCGGGTAGGGGGTGGGGGAGCTGGCAGAGTTTTCACACCCAGCTTACCTCCCCCCCATCAGCCCCAGGTCAGGTCCCAGGTTCCTGGGCAGGCATTTGCAGGACGCTATCTGCCTCCTACCCTGGCACCTCCCTGTGGGGCCTGGCAGGGTACCAGGAGCTCTGAGAAGGCCTGTGGCTGTGGGCATCTAGTTGACGCCGCAGGGCTGCACCCTCCTCTCCCTGGGGCCCCTGCAGCTACACACTTGCATGTTCGTGTCTGGGAAGGTGTCTGAGTGACCAGGGCCTTCATTCAGCGCCTCTGTGGATTTCCAAGTGAGCCTTAGCCTTCAGGGACCAGCCTTAGCCTGCTTGGGGCTCAAAGTTATTCCCTTTGCCCACCCCACCCCAGCCCCCATATTTAAAAAACCCAGCCATAAGCCAGCTCAGGACCCAGGTCCCCAGATCTGTGGCCAAACTCGGGCAGCTGGTGCCACTCGCGCCCTCGCGGGCCTTATTCGGCTACCTCTGCCTGGCAAGTTCCTTAAAAACCACAACAGAGAAAAGCGGCCCGAGCTGGCGCCCCAGTCCGGGGAAGTCACGAAGGTGTGTGCTGGGGGCGGGCTGCGGGAGGAAGCGCTGGCCAGCAAGCGCCGGCCCCCTCTGCAGCTCCTCGGCGGGCTTGCATAGTGCGCGCTTTGTGTAAGCGCTGAGGAGGCGCAGCGCTGCTCGCGCGCCAACAGCTGTCACATTATTTGCACTCGCTGTAAACAGCCTTCACATTCCCCCCTTACCACATAGTTAAAGCCAGACTAACAATCCACAGTTAGAGATCAAACCAACAACAGCAGCATTGTGTCTGCCTTCGCTGCCTTCGCACCAAGCCCAGCAGCTGGCAGGTTTCTCCGGAACAAGGGACCCCCGGCACCCCCCCACCCCCACCCCTCCAGGCTCCAGCCAAGGCTAGCCAAGGAAGCATGCGGGTTGTCAGTGTTGTTGCAAGAGAGCACCGCCATTTCGCAGAAATGTCTGCGTGGTTCATCAGGCCCTCTCCCCGTCTGCTCCTCCTGGTAGCTCGGGGAAGCGGGCCGTGGGAGGGAAGGAAGGTGCTTCGGGCTCCCGGGGTGGGCTTGCACGCTTAGCAGTGGGGGCTGGCCCATGCTGGCCAGGCTGGGCCTGGGACGGGGAGGCGCATGGCTCTCCCTCCTGCCATGTCACAGGGAGGCAGCCCGCAGCACAACGCCTCTGGTCTTTCAGAAATTGCCCAACTCACTGAATACTTCCTGGTCGCCCCAGTGATCAAAACGTCTCCTTTATGATTTTTGGTTAAGTTGAACATTTCCATAATCGTCATTATTAGCGCAAATTACACGCCTAATCGGTCCTTAAATAGATTTTAATTAAATAATCATACAAGGCTCATTTTATGACTTAAGAAAGGCATTACTTTTCGTTATAAACTTTCCACCAGGATACACGATCACCATAGCCGACAAATACTTCCTCTGAAAATCACCAACAGCCACTGGGCAGGGCATCCCGGAATGCCCTGATTCACCTGCTGGAATGGACGCGGGAGAGCAGGCATCCGCCAGCCACACCACTTGCCTCCTAGGATGGGACAGGGGCCTCTTCCTCCCAAGTGCTACTGTGCTCTTCTCTTGGCCCAGCAGAAATCCACCCCACCCCGCCACTTCTCCTGACCCATCTGAGTGCCTCCCCCGCCCCCCAGCCCTAGTGCAAAGCAGACAGACTGTGCTTGTGAAATGCTGTTAATAAAACCACAAGCACAAAGGACGGAGGCTCTGGGTGCATGGGTGTTTTGACTGCAAATGCCTTGGCACTTGCCGTGTGTTTATGGGAGGGCGACAACTCCAGGATTTACATGCTTTGGACATTTCTGTACTTCATTTATTCTTTCCTCACTGACGTAGGCCTCGAGCTATTTCAAGTTTGCATTTGTACCCAACTATGAAACGCCTAGGAGTTTCTCCAGTTCGACCAAGTTTTAAGTCAGACCCAAGGCTGGAACACACTCTCTCAGACTTGTCCAACTCCATCCCCAGCCAAAAACAAACAGGCTCGCCCCCCCACCACCACCTTCACCCCCTCCACTCCCCACCCCGCCCTGGAGGGCCCCCGCAGGGCAAAGGTGAAGGCGTCTGGGGATTCCAGGCCAGGCCAGGCTGCTGTGCACACTGGCAATCAGCTCGCAGGTAAGTGCGCCCTGTCCATACACCTCCTCAAAAAATACTGAGCTAAAATGGAGGGGGGGGGGGGAGGCTCCTGGCCTGAGAAAACCCGCTGTCCGCAAAAACAATGTCAGCATAGGCTCTGAGCATTCTTTCGACAAGGACCAAGGCTTCATGCCTACTGAAGCTCTGGCAAGCACAAAGGCTTTTAGGGAAAGAAGGGAAAAAGGTGGTGGTGGGGGGGAACGCCTGTTTCAGAGCAGGCATCCCCTGAGAGTCAGGAACCAAGTGTAGCTTCAATCAAAGGCTGACTTCCCCTCTGGGAGTCCGGCAGGAAACCTGGTCACAGTACCTTACTACCGGCCTGGATCCATACAGGTCTGGTTTTCTTCTCATGCTAGTAATTTTTTTTTCTAAAAAAAAAAATACATATCGATATAAAAGAAGCAATCCCTGGCAGACTTCACTGGAAACCACACTGGGTCCCCTCCAAACATCCGGAATTAATCCCTATCTAGCAAACCACAGCACCTCTGGCCTCTGAGCCGGCCACCCCTCACCACCTCCAACCAGGTCTCTCCCCTCTAGCTGCTGCTCTTCCCGCCACCCTCCCCGAATAATGAGGGGCAGACTTGCCCAGCAGCGCCTAGATACTGGTTCTGGAATCCATCCCTAGCCATATCAAGATCCCGTAGCAGGTCCTTTCATATGGAATCTTTTAAAGGGCAGGAACTGTAACAAAGGGAAGGAGGAACCCACGGGGCTACCCGGAGCAAAACCCTCAGAGGGAAACTCTCTTCTGTGCCCTGGGTCCCAGGACACTGGGAGGTCTGGGTGAGGGGGGGAGTCCCCAGAAAGTACCAGGAGCAGCAAAGATGGAGGAGCAGCCCACAGCAACATGAGCAGCCATTCAAAGTAATTATTAATCCTCGGGGCCTACTATGTGCCAAGTATTCTTCTTTGATCCTAAAGGTGGATAATTATTCCCAGTCTTACAAATGAAGAAACTTACTGAGGCTCGGAGGCCATAAATAACTTGCCCCCAAGGTCACACAGCTAGTAAAAATGGGCCACGGTCAAACTCAGTCCTGGAGTTGCGGAGAGGAGCCAATCATTGGGCTAATTGTGCCATTGGAAATTCGGATTTTCACAGGCCATCTCCTCCAGGAAGCTGCCGAAAGCTCTCTTAGGCTTCGGGCACCCCCAAATATAGGGGTAATGTTTGGCACCCATCCTATCCCAGTCCACAGTCCACAGTGAGGCTTCAACCCGGCTCCTCCTACATCCAAGAATCTCTTGGTACCTTGAGAATCTTTCCCAATCTCCCCTACAGCCTACAAGTCTCTCCTCTGGGACACATCCTGATCTGAGTGAGGCCAATGCCCCCCCCCCCCCAAGGCTGCACTTTGCGCAGGGCAGGACGGGTAGGGTAGGTGGCTGTGCTGCTCTCAGCCCTGCAGGGAAAGCGCTGACTCCTGGCACCAGGGACTGGGCTTGCCACCCTAGTTTTGCCACATAAAGCAATAAATCAAATTATCTAGATAGACCAAAAGCCCTTTGGAAGGAGCTCCTAGAGTTCAAACGGAAAACCCCAGAGACCAAAGTGAGGTGGGAAAGAGAATTCAGAGGGAAATCATTTGCAAGATGCCCAGTCCCCCCTCCACTATGCGAGTGTCAAGCCTCCCCCGCCCCGCCCCAGGGAGCCAAGCCGCAGGCGAGTTGGGGGATGGGTATCTTCCTCTTCCCCCCCCAGCCTTTCCTCCCACAAGCTCGCGGCGCCAAACCTCAGTGCCCAACATCCCCTCTGCACCCTAGGCACCATTTCCAGGTCTGCCCCGGGCTTTGAGATGCTCTAGGGACACCACGCATACACTCTGGGCCAGGCTCCAGTGCCAAGGACGCCCTGCAGCTGGGCTCGCTGAGGACGGGCACCGGACACTCTAACGTCCCTGAACCGGTTGCTTCCCCCCCACTCCTCCCCGGCACATCGTCCGGACGTGCGAAGAAATGGCTTCGAGACGCTACCGGGCAGGCAAGGAGGGATCGAGGGACGCCGGCGGCGCCGGCCGCTCACCCGGTTCGCCAGCCGAGCACGCCCCCGCGGCCCGGCCGGCCCTGGCTCCGGGCCAGCCCTCCGCAAGTGGCTTGCTTTCTTTTTAAACTTTCCGGCCTCCGCGAGCGGCCAGAGTTTTCCAGCTCTACTCCCCCACCCCCACCCCCACCCGCCCCAGCGCCAGCGCCAGCTCCGGGCGGACTTAGCAACCCCTCTGGGGGAGACGCCCCCCACCCCCACCCCCACGCCGGGCACCGCTAGACTGCGGCGGGAGCAGACGCCTTCCCCCGCCTCTCCCCCCCCCTCCCCCGCCAACTTGGGCCACCTGGATTGGGCGGCATCCCGAAACGCTCGCCGTCCAGCAGAGCCTGGGGCCGTCACGTCCGGAGAGGAACACTCCCGCAGCCCCAACTGTAACGGTCGGTCGGGGCCTGACTGCCGAACGCGTACAATGAGCTCGAACCTTTGGCGCGCGCTCGGGACGGCCCAAGGCTTCGGGAGGGGTGGTTGGGGGGGGGGGGCGAGAGCGAGCGAGCAAGGCGGGAAGGGGAAAGGGTTGCTTTCTTTTCTTTTTTTTTTTTTTTAACTCTTCACATACAAGAGGTTTCGTTGTCCCTGGCATGATTCCGAGTGCCCAGACAGAACAATAGAAATGGGGGGTGCCGGATATGGTGCAGGAAGACCCCTATAACCCTATAACCCTCCCCTCCCCTTCGCATTCACTATCAAGCACCTTTAAGACCCCGGTGCCTTCAATGCAGTAAGTGGGTTCTTTTTTTATATATATATAACTTTTCCCCCTAAACCTGTCACCTTCGGCACACTGCGAAATCACAAGAGCAAAGATCGCTCCCCAAGTTGTGACCTCACGAAGCTCTCGGGTCTCTCACCTGCTCTGCCCCTGGCACCGTGACCTGACTCACTGCCCCTCCCCCAACCGTTCCCCTGCTTTGCACCTAGACAATAAATTTAGTTTAATTTAGCTTCCGGTCTTTAATTTTAGCAGGTCTCCTTTTTGCATGCAAATCAATATGGCAATTACCATCTAAAAGCTCGCCCAGCCCCGGGTCAATGTAAATTGATCATTGTCCGCCTTCCACAAAATAACACCGGGAGTCTGTGGTGCATAATGAGATTATACTGGAAACTGTCTTTTAGATCACAAATTATATTTTATGCTGTCAGGATCTTCTCCTAGCGGACTTCCCCGCTTGTCTAATCGTGGGGAGCCGGGTCCGTGGGTACTAGCCAAGGAGACACGGCTCTGTAAAACAACCCCCGTTTCTGAGACCCAGGGAAGTGACCTAGCAAACATCGCAGAAAAGCCCCGTTAATGAACTCCGACGCAACAAAAAGCTCTCCCTTCGTGAAAACACGTTTGAGGGTAACCACGCAAAGCCGTCGGGCAGGGCGGAGACTGGTGGACACTCTGGCCAAGTGTTCGCGATGGACGCGGCGCGGCGACCACGGAGACGGGCGGACGGAGGCCCCTTCCGCCAGTCCCGGCGGCTGCCCCCTCCCGCCTCTGCCACCTAGGCCTCAGCAGCACGGCCGGCTCGGCAAACAGGCGGAATGCCGTCGGCCATAAACGCTGGCAAAGACCCAGGCCCCATCCGATGCAAGGAAGAAGGTCCTCCCCTCGCCGAGGGCGCTTCTCTCCCGCTCCTCGGCGGCCCCCAGGGCACGGGTGTGACCCCGGGACCTAACAAAAGCCTTTCTTCGCTCTTTTAGGCCTCGGGCGAGCGGGGGAGGGGTGGGGCGCGGCGGCCGACGAGGACTCCTGCTGCCCTCCGCCCTGCCGCGCCTCGCTGGGCCGGCTGGGCCCAGCGCCCTCGAGGAAACCACACCACGGTGGCCTCGCCAGGGCTGCCGGGCGCTCCCGAGGACCGTCCTGGGGTTGGGCCGGCCCTGCGGCCTTGCGAGCCTGCGAGCCTCCCGCCCGGCCTACGGCCCAGCCCTGCCCCGCCCGGCCCGGCGCGGGCTCCACCCAAGTGCGGTCTTCCCAATAAAAGCTGGAATTCCCGGCTGGGCTTAAACAAAGAGGGACCGCGGCAAATCGACGCCGCGGGCAAACCAAACCCTAGCTGGAGTTTACGTGCGCGTCAGGGGTCGCCCAGGAGCCTGCTAATCCACCCTAGGGAAGCCGTCCTGGGCCCTGGCCCCCGGCCCCGGGCCCCGGCACGGTGTCCTCCAGAAAAAAAAAAAAGAAAAGAAAAAAAACATGAAAACACATCCAAATGAAAGCCTGCCTCCCTCCCTCCCCTTATTCCTCCCAGAGTCCATACTTCTTTTAGTTCTGTCTTCCGCAGCCCGCTAGGCCCCGCCAGACCAGCAAACGGGACCCCTTCTGGGGTCTGCACTCCTTCCTCCCCGTCCCAAAATAGAAAGCTACTCCTCCACACCACCAAAACCCGCTCTGCAGGTCAAGAACTCAAAACCTCTCCAGGAATCCTCCTACCTGCTCAGCAGACATTTCCCTACCCCAGCCTCGCAGCCAGGTGACCCTAGCTAGGTAGGTGGCTTTGCCCCTCCCTCCCGTTCCTTGAGGCCAGAGGTCCAGCCCGTGGTAAGTGAGCAAGGAACGGCACTGGGGTGCTGGGGGGAGCCACACTTCCGCAGCCACCTCCGTCTCCCGCCGTGCCAAGAGCCTCCATTAGCCTGCTAGGAGTTTTTGTCATTCAGCCTGTGTACCTAAGCACGGATGTATGCATATGAGGGCTTTTTGTGTTGCCAAGTGACCCTCTTCACACCTTTAAATGGGCTTTTGTCTCTGGAACGCACTTACAGAAATTCTGCCCCAGTTTGCAGCTCCACAAAGTATGGGATTCCCCCCACCCCTTGCTTAGCCTATTGCTACACCTCGCTGTATTTGCATAACCCGTGTCTACACCGCTCGGTCACTTCTTCATCGCTTAGGGATCGCGCACTCCAAGTGGGCACCAGAGCCCAAGTGTCTTGATTTGTCTCAGCACATGTCATTCAGGCGCACATCTTAATCTGAGCATTCCTGGCTCACACGGCCACCTCCCTACCATTACATTCTTCTTGGTTGCCTGGAATGGGGGGCTCAATCCAAGACAGACCACTATGCATCTGCAGTTGCAATCAGAGTCCCTTCTTCCACAAGCCCTTAAAAAGGGGAGGAGGCCGTGGGGGACCCGAGGGCAGTGGAATGTCAGTAATGAGCTTTTGTACAGAGTAACCCACTCACCAATTCCAGTTCTTGAAAGAGCTAGACAAATGTCTGCAGACTGGTATTCATTTTTTTTAGGTCAATTCAATATTAGCCCCCACTATGTGTATACAAATGATGGATCTCACGACACATCCACACATCGGAGAACAACTCCTGTTTGGAGGCAGGCTCCCTGACATGTGTAACTCCCCACAAGTTCATGGTTACAAGTATGTGTATTTACAGACAACTCTAGGACTGCTTGGCTCTCTCTCCAGTGCATACCTGTACACACTGAGCTGGCGGCCATCGCAGGCTCGGCCCCGGCATCTGCAACAGTCCCAGTCAGGCCCCCACGGGACCCCAGCTCTGGGCAGACCCTTCCCCGACTGCAAAGACCGACCACAAGAATTCTGAGGTGTACAGCTGCGTCTGCCAAACCGAGTTCCTAAAGTGAGGGTGCCCCTCTTGTGTGCCCACAGCTCCTCCACGGAGAAGTAGCCAGTCCAAGCAGACCAGCCATCTAGCCAGCAGCTGCGTTTGGTTTGTCGAAGAATCGAGCCCGATGCACCAGGATGTGACCAGGCACACACAGAAGAGAAAGGAAACCCCAGAGTCTAGACGACTGCCCCCTCCTCCCACAGGCTACCGGCCTCCAGGAATTCCTGCCAGGCTCGGAGCTCCTCTGCCCCCATCACTCTAGCCCAACGGCCAGGAAAGGGTTAAGAGAAACCCCCGCAGCCCTCACTCTCCTGCTCGCTGGGCCCGCAGGCTAGCTCGCTGACTCGCTGCTCGCGGGAGTCTGCAGCCGTCTCTGCGCCCCCCACCCCCGCCCGTCCTTCAGCCGGGAGGGAGCCTGCATGCCTGTCTAGACCGATCTATCACCGGTACACCAACAACACCCGCGAGAGCGCGGAGACCCTGCCTAGGTCCCCCGGCCCGCACGGTTCACGGCGGACGGAGCCTCAGGAGCGTGACGGCGCCTGCGGGGTGGGGGCGGGGGCCTACAGGAGCTGGCCGCCCGGAGCGCACCACGGGTCCGCCCCGGCCCCGGCCCCCAGCGCTCGCACCAGCCCCGCTGCCGGGACACAGTCACAGCTCTGCGCGCTGGGCAGTCCTATTTTTATCTTGTCTAATCCCAAACTGGGCGGGGAGCACAGGCGTCGTGCTTAGAGAACAAGAGATAGGCGAGGGAGGCGGGGAGGAGCAGCCAGGCAGCGACGCGAGCGGGAGCGAGTTAAAGACACAGTGGAGGCGACCGCGAGCAGGAAGAAAGAGCGGGCTGCGCGGGCCTCGCGGCGCCGCACGCAACGCGCCGCCCCGCGAAGTTACACTCGCCTCCCCGCTGTCCCTCGCTGCCCGCCCCTCCCCACTTCCCAGCGGCGCTCTCCGCAGCCGGGACCTCGGGGCCCCGGCCTGTGTGGGAGGCGGAGGCCAGGCCGGCCCTGCAAAGGGCTGGAGAGAATCGCTAATGAGCTGTGCGGCCCATTGATCCGGAGAACACTTCCTAATTAACTCTCAGTCACCTACTGGTGACAGCGTCTCAAAGGACAGCGCTGGGGCCGGCCGAGCCCCAGCCCCGACCTGCCGGCCGAGCGCCTGGCGCCCGAACCCGGCGCGCTCCCCCTCACTACCCCAGGCAATTCGCGTGCGTGGCGGTGTTCACCCGTACACCGCAGGCCAGCCCCGGATTCAACCTGGACGGCATATTAATCATCGCCTTCAGCGCTTCCCTTACGCGGTGGTACAAACACGAGAACCAACACGGCAAAGCCAGGCCAGATAACAGGTCGGGAGGCAGAGTGGGAAGGGCCGGCGAGCGAGCCTATCTCCCAAGTGTGCCGGCGGGCGGACAACCGTCTCCGAGGCTGGCAATGAAAATGCCTTCCACCCAAGCAGTTCTGTTGGCAAAACCGAATCCAACACCTCGTAAGGATTGATTTCGGCCCGCGGTGTCCGTTTCCAGTGCCACAGGAAGTGTCAGATGGCCAGAAATACCCAAGTCTGTCTGCGCTCACCACCCAGCGCCTTCTCGGGTGGGCCGTTTCCTCCTCGTAGTGACTCCCAGGCCATTTTAAGGATCTCTCTCCCAAAGGCTACCTCGGGAACCAAATGCCAGCACCCCTCCCCTAGCCTGCTCTCGGCAAGAAAAAGGGAAAAAAAGACACACAGACACACAGAGCTAAAACCCTGGGCTCTCTAGACGCAGCGAGGCTGTGCGAATACCTATTTGAAGCGCGCTGGTTTCTTTTTAAGGTTTGTTTTTAAATACACATAACCCTCCTCCTTCCTTCTTCGCTCTTTCATTCCCCCAACCCCCACCCTCCAGACGCCGGCGGCGCGCGCCCTCGCGCGCGGGCACTCACAGCCTCTAGCTGGAGATCGCGGACTTTCTGGAAAAGATTCATTAACAGCAAATTAAGCCTCGCCCGGCCTCGGCCTACATGCGGCCAGTCTCTGCGGTCTCCGGGGCGCGCGGGTACGTGTCCCCTCGAGCGTGCGAGCGTCGGGAGGTCCGCCGGGACCACGCGTGCCTCGAGCTGCCCTACTCCGCGCACGGCGCCGCAAAGCCTCGCTTCGTAAACAGCAGGCACTCCCCGCCGTCGCCGCCGCCGCCCGGAGCCCCCGAGTTGGCGAAGGCTCTGCAGCGCAGCCTCCCGCCCGCTCCGAGCGCGGGCCCCGCGGCGCGCCAGCGCCTCGCCCTCCCCTCTTCGGCCGAGGATCGCGCCCCGGTGCGCAAGTTCCTCTTCGCCCTGAGCCTCCGCGCCGCACGCCCTTCAAGTGGGACCAACTTCCTCCGGCCTCAGACTTTCACACGCCCATCAGGGCTTCCCACCACACTCCCTACAGCCCAGCGGAGCGCCCAGGCCCCGGGCCCCTCCGCCCCCGCCCAACCACATTCTACACCCACCCCAGGGGCTCCTAACTTAAAACCTCCCCTTCCCCCCACCGTCGGGGAGCGGGGGGGGGGGGGAGCAGAGGTGGGCGGAGTGGGGGGAGCAGCGGACTGCAATCTAAAGAGAACATTTACAAAACAAAGCGTCTGACCTGGCTGGCGGGCGGACGGGCCGAATCGGAACCCCTCGCTCGGCTCGATTTCCTAGTAGATTTTTTTTTTTAAATCCACGTGATTCGCGCTTTGGGGCAAGCCAAGAAAAAACCCGGGACTCCCTTCCCGAGTTGCGCGGCGGCGGTAGCAGGTCGAGCTCGGCTCGGCCCGAGGCGCCCGCCACACACACACACACACACACACAGCCTAGCGCACGCACACGCCGTCGTTCCACTTGGAGGAACGACTGGCCCCTGGAGAGGCGAGACCAAGCGGCAGCGGCTGGGGGTTTTTACAGTTCTTTCCCGAGTAGAAAAAGAAAGCAGAGGGGAACCCGCCGCCCTCCCCTTCCTGCTCGCGAGCTAACGCCGAGCCGAGCTTCCCAGCCTCCAGCCCAGCCGCCCCCCCCCCCCGCTCCGCCCGACTCCCGGCGCTCCGCGGCGACCGCGCTCCCGCGCACACACAGGCTGCAAACTTCCACTCCGCGAACTCACTGCTCTGCTCCCAGCCCCCCTCGGGGGGGAGCCGGCAGCCCCCCCCACTGCGCCCTCCTCTCCCTGGTGCCCACGCGGGGCCGCTTAGGTTGGCTGCATTTCTAATAACTTACAGCTATAAAATAAAAATGAAAGCGAGCAAAGCAGCTAAAGGAAAGCGCGAAGCCAAAGCTCCGCGGGGTATACGCGAGTCGGAGGAGAAACCCGCGGCGGGCGGGGGCCCCGGGGGGAGGGGGCCGATTGCAGCCCTCGGCACGCCAGCCCGCCCGCGGCCTCCCCCGGGAGAAGTGTTCCGGACACTGACCTGAAATCCCCGGTCGAGGAGTAGGCTGGGAGCCTGCGATCCGGCGCTTTGAAGTTTTCCCCCAAGCGGAGTCGAGGCGGGCAGGAGCGGGGTGAGGTTGGGTGGGTAGAGGAGAGGTGTGCGGGAAGGGGGGGGGGGGCGGGGGGGGGGGCGACGTTAGCGAGCGGAGAAGGAGCCGGGCTGGGGAAGCGCGGCGAGCAGCAAAGTTTGCCGTCCCCGGCTGCCCGCAGCCCGCTCTCGGCACCGTGCTCGCTCGCCTCCCTCGCCGTCTGCTGCCAGCCGGCTGCCCTCGGGGTCGGCCCCGCCGAGGGGTGGGCTCTGGGCCGGGTGGGGGCGGGGCGGGGCGGGGCGGGCTCAGCGCCTCCGGGCAGGTGGCGACAGCCCCGCGCGATCCTTTGGGCTCCCGCAGCTGGACTAGGCTCGGCCGGGCTCAGCAGCTCCCGCGCCGCCGCTGCCGCCCGCGCTCGGGCAGGAGCCCCAGCGCCATGTTGTCGGTTCGCCGCGAGCGCCCGCTCGGGCTGGGTGTGTGTGTGTGTGTGTGTTGGCCAAGTCGTCCCTGCGCGGCGACAGCGCGGCTTGGGCTCTCCGCCCGGCGGCTCGCGGGCTCCCCCTCCGCCGCCGCCCGCTTCGCTCCCGCTCTCGGTCGCGGTCGGGGCTCCGGCGCGTCTTCCCCGCAGCCGCCGAGCTCTGCCCGCGTTCAGCGAGGAGCGCAGCTCTGCCTCACCTTGCCGCTGGGAGCCCGGGCTCCGTCTGCCGCCGCACGCCGTGATCCCAACGCGTCCCCCCTCCCTCGTTCCCTCCTCTTCCTCCTCCCCCTCCCTCCGCCCGCCCGCCCTCCCTCCCTCCCAGCAGCCGCCTCCCCTCCCCCGCAGGCACAGCGCTCGGGCTACAGCCGCCCGCCCGCCGCCGCCTCCAGCTCTCGCAAGTTTGAGCTCCCCCAGTCGCCGCTTACCCTCGGCTGCGGCGTCTCCGCGGTGGGATTTTGAACGGGGTGATTCCCCAGGAAAGCTTTGCCCGAGTTTCCCCGGCCGTCATCGATTCGCGGCCGGACGCATTTTGGCCTCTCCAGGTTCGAATCCGGGACCACTTGGGTGGCGCCCCTCTCGCCCCCTGCCCTTCCCTTCTCGCCTCGGGCCGAGTTGGTTGCGCACGCCCGGTCCTGGCGCACGTCTTGGGCAAGCTGGAGACCGACTGGGGCGGCGGCGGCGGCGGCGAGGGCAGCCCGCAGCGACGAAGCCGAGGGTACGGGGGGCGGCAGGGGCGGCTCTCCCAGCCGCGCGCCGAGACTCCCCTTGCTACCCAGAAGGCCAGTGGAGGACCGCAATTACCATAAAGCGCCTCGCGCTCCGCTCAGCCCAAGCTGTCAAACGCCAGCGGCTGCCGCCTCTCCGCCACCAGCGCTGCGCTCCCCTGGCCTCGCGTCCCCCTCCGATCCCCAGCAGAGCCCAGCGGGTGTGCGTCCGCGCCCACTCCCACTCCAGATCGCTCCTTCCTGGCGGAGGAGCTCTTGCCCGTTTCGGTGTCATCAGCTCTCTGAAAACACTACCCCGGGCAACAGTGGCCGTTCCGCCCGAACTCCGCGCCCGAGTTCCCCGGACGTTTCAATTGTGTGGGAATCGCTTGCAGGCGGGGGTGGGGGCGGGGGAGTAGCCCTGGAGGGGTACCGGGAGGCGGTGGGGTGCGTGTGTGTGTGTGTCTGTGTGTGTGCTGGCAGGGGAGCGAAGATCGCCTGAATCGCTCCGGGGTCTCGCGCATTTCAGGGTCTGCACCTCAGATGCTTGGAGGGTCTGCCTTGGCCCCTCACCCAGGCCTCGGGAGATTATCTCCCGCGTTTTATTTCCCTTGGCAAGGAGCAACTTTTGGCTTACACCGTTCGCCCCATAAATTTCCACTCGGTAACGTCGTGCTGATCGGTGCTCGGCGGCGGCGTACAGCCTGCGCCCGCAGCAGTTCAATTCAATTGACACGTATTGAGCTCCTCCAGCGCACCCGGCGCGGCGCTGGGCGCGGGGGGAGGGCGGGGGCTGGCTGGCGGGAGGGGGAAGCGGAGAAAGAGGTTCCGGCCTCCCCAGAGCGCGGAGCCTCAAGGGCGAGCCGAGAAGCCCCAGTTTGTGAAGCTGGCGGGAAAGGGTGGGAGTGGGGGAGGGGGTGTTCCGGTCTAACCGCACCCAGACTGCGGGCCTGGACATCACGGCCAAAGGTGACCGCATTCAGCTGCCCGCTAGGGTCTTTCTAGGATAGGAAGGGGGTGGGGTGTATCTTTCTGCCTAAGGACAAGATGGTGCAGGCTGGATGAGAACATAAATCCGAAATGGGGGTGGCTTGTATATCCACACGGAAAGTTTTAAAATATCCTGGAGTGTCCCCATGCCAAAAATAATCAAAAGCATCTCAAGTTGATTACTAAGTCAAGGTCAAGGCCAAAATCAGCTCTGGCTAGCAGATATTTTCCCTTTTAAAAATTAGACTCACTACGGAGTGGGACTGGTAGTATTAGGTGCGATTTTATTCATTCTGTTTTAGTTCTCAGCACATAGTTATAAAAACAGCCCTTCTCAAAGCAGAAGTGAAACATCTCTACCGTTTGAAACCCGAAACTTCGAGCGGAATGAAGTGTTCAAGCTCCAGAGCTGCTTATAACAACTGATGCAAAAGACAGGCGGGCCGGTGCCCCCTCCAGCAGTGCCCAGGCGAGCTGGGCGAGAGACCCCTTGCAGAACCTGCTGCTGCAGACTGGAATGCGTGCCTTTTTTCTTCCTGGTCTTTCTGGGGGCGGATGTCTCTGAAAGCTAGCCCACACATTTTTTTAATCTCCGGTAACAAGCAGAAAGACACCTGGACTATTATGCTGTAAAGCTATTTTTTATAAAGACATTTTAGGGCCAGACATTAAAAGTTATTAGACTGAACGCATGCGAGTTACAGACCCAGCTGGAGAAAAGGCCCCTGGTTGTGTGTTGTAGCAACATTTCTTTTTGAAGCAACTCCTTTTATTCAAAACAAGTCTAAAATAACCGGGAAGGCTGAAGTTGGGGATGGGGGGGGGGGGAGTCTCTGAATGTGGTTCCAGGCAGGGAGGCCACTGAAGACTGGGGCGGGTGAGCTGGCCTGGGGGAGTGAGAAGCTGTGCCAGGCTCTTCCGGCTGGGTTGGGCCGCACCGCAGAGGCCCTGGCCCAGTGCCCGGCCGCCACCTTCTCTTGTCTCCCCAAGTCTCCCCCTACCCCCCCACTCCCAGGCATAGGCTTTTCCCGGAGTTCCCAGTGGCGTGTAACTGTCCAGAACTTTTGGAAAATCCAGGAACTGGGCCTGGGGCCTGCTGCCCTTCAGAGTCTCCTGGCCTCCCGGGGCTGCTGACAGAGAGGCCTATTTGTCTAACTTTAAAAATCCCGAGAGTTAAAATGAAGGCGGGAGTGGGGGTGTGCTGTAAATGGGAAAGGGGGCTGCGCGGGGGGGGGGGGGATTTGATGCTGGAGACAAACAGGCCAGTGCGTTGACCTTTGACATAATTTGCACCATCCACACCCCCCCCCTTTTTAGGGAGCCTTCCTGCGGGCTGCTGGGATTAAAAGGTTTCTCCTCCATCTCCTAGGGATACATTTTCCAACTCCGTGGGATTTAAAAAATATCTTATTAAGGGAGTCCTAAGAGGCATTGTGGAGGGGGGGGGGATGATTCGTGACTCACTGGGAATTAAAACGTGGGATTTTCCTGAGATGCTCTACAGCGAAGGGGAGGGGGCTGAGATTACACCTATTGGCCTGGTTCCGTGGGGTTGTGCTGCGGGAGAGAAGCAGAAAGCTGTGGGCAGGGTAGTCCCGCCCTGGGACTCAAGGAAGAGGCTCCGGGAGCTGGGAATGCCAGGGGCCTGCAACTGTGTGTGCTGGCGGCCAGGCCCGGCCCCTGCTCCTTCTCCCTCCCTCCCGAGAGCCCCTTGGGAGCTGACCCGGGGGTCAGGCCGCTATACCCAGCACTCAGCGAAGGGAGGATTTCAATGAAAGCGGAGGCGGAGGCTGAGAGAGCAAGGGAGCTCAAGGGGGGGGGGGGGGGCGGCAGCGCAGCCAGCGCAGAAATAAATAGGCGCCGAAAGGAGAGGTGCCTGGGCTGAGCGGAGGGAGCTGCCTCTCCTCAGCCTGCTCCCACCTCCATGAAAGGTTCTTGCATGTTCTCCCACTGCACATTCTGACCTGGCTCTGGAAGTGGGCAAGCGAACTGGGCCCCGGGAGCAGGCCTGGAGCCTAGCTGCCTATTGCAGGGTAGGCTGAGGGTGCAAGACCTGGCAGGGCCTCCTCCAACCCTCCGGCTACGTCTAGGCTTTGGGGAAACTCCTTGCATCCCTTGGTGAGGTCCTTGCTCAGAGTTTTGGGGCAGCCTGCACCCCAGACGCTGTGCAGGCGGTTCCCGTGTGACACAGGTGTAGGATCCTGGCCTCTGCTGGCCTTTCTCCGAGGTCATTCTCAGGCAGGTGGCACTAGGCTGAGCACAGACACAGACGACAAACAGATAACATACTTGACCTGGGGTCGGCTCTGAATATTGACTGTCTTTAAAAGCACACAAACACCCAGGCTTAGAGCCTTCTGGCCATTTTGCAAAAAGAACTCTAGGCTTACCCAATGACACTTTCACAAAAAGACTGGCTGGATCCCTGAGCCCAGCCTAGCCACCTGGCTTTCCCTCTGAGACCCCAGTGAGGGTGGGATCCACTAAAGGCCCATCCTTGTCCCAAGGATGTCACTGAGCTGGAGACCTGGAGAGGTAGCTGCCTGCTCTTCCTTCTGCCTAGCCTTTGGAAGGTTACTGAGTATTTGCAGGAGATCCCAAGGGCAGGCCCAGGGTGATTCATAGCAACCTTCTCATCATCTGTAGTGTGGGCTCCCGGACCCCACGCATGGGTGGGTGACTGCCGCACAAACCGCGGAGCCGCTGGCAGGGTGCGTGTTGACCGAATGGGCATCAGTGGAGTCTTCTGGGAGGCCGCGTCTTGTTCTCGGCCTGGCCCCAGCTTAGGAGCCCTGGAAACCGCCGCGCTGGCCGGATGCTCCTGCAGATAAACCCAGACGCCACGTCCGCCCCGGCTGCTTATTTAGCAGGGCGCCTCCTGCGCATATTTTGCCCGGCTGGGGGCAGTGAGTGGGAATCGTAGGGAGAGGAGCGGGAAACCACCAACTGCTCGCCCTCGGACTGGGAGCGCCCGCCTACCCGCCCCAGCCTTTATGTGTACAGCCTCTCGTCCACTCCCGCGGGGCCCCACTGGAGACACGCTACCCCAACCCCTTCGCGGGCGCCACCGCGGGACTGGAGGGTTGTGCAAGGCTTATCTCAGCCCCTCTCAAAAAAAATCCGTGTATAGTTCGGTGGATCGTATGGAATGGGGGCGAGGTTCTCTTCGGCAAATGACTTGTGGGCCCCCCCTCCAGCCTTCCGCCCCCGCCGTGGCCTTAAAGTCACAACACAGCCGAGAGTGGACCGCCTCATTGCTCAGGACAGTTCCCAGACACCGCCACCCTCCGCCGCTCGCAGAGGGTTCGGGAATTCCAAACGACTTAATCCGCCCCCCCCCCCCCCCCCCCCGCTCCCATTCCACCTCCCGGGCCGCTCGGCTCTGCCTCCGCCCCCAGTGCCCACCCCCTCCATCCGTGCGTCTCCAGCGCGTTAGCAGCGGTGCAGCTCCCGGGCGCGAGTGCTGGGGGTGGGGGTGGGGGGCCGCAGGGTGGTTTGTGTTGCGAGGCCTGACAGAACCTTCTGTGTGCGGCGGAGGGAGGAG